ACCTCAACAAGCAGTGCTTGATTATTGCGGTCCCGAAGGTCGAAGCTATTAGTGACTGTGCGCGAGGTAAATGCCAAACTATCTAGATCGTACGTATCTGTGCGTGTGTGTCTATGTGTGTGTCTGTAAATAACGCGGTTGGGTGTACCTTATACGTACTAGGTGCGATCAAGCCTGTCCCCTTCTAAAATTTATTTAGGTGTATTCAATGTTTTTGTTGGGCTAGGTCACTATTGTGACGCACGCGCATAACTGGCTTATGATCGATCAAAGGTGATTACAATCATGCAAGAAAATACCTTACGCTCATAAGAAAAGGCTTATCACGTTCCATGAGTATACTGCGGGGTTAGTTTAGACATTAACAGCATCACAATCCTTCTTCATTGACTGCTATAGTTGTATAGTGTTTTGCAACTTGATCAGTTGTATGGACAAAATCACCACTATCAAAGGGCGAGAGCTCCAGAGCTTGCTCCCCTACATTATTTAGGAATGGGCAAATGCACACACACGGTTTGATTTTACCTTTAAATTGGCATTTATAAAGTAATCATCGGTGATGAGCTAATATTAAACTACACGAAAGTACCTCTTTTCCAGAAATTTAGTGCGTTTTGCAGCCTCTATTATACCGGTTTTCGTTTCCTCAACACACAATCATAACTTTCTTTGCTTCAAACTACGTACCTTGGTGGACGTGTTCTTTTTTCATGAGTTTTTTGCGATTATAGCGCTTTAAAATCCTAAGATACTGTTTCTGATAAAAAGCTTGCTCTAGGTGACTAAAGAACTCTCAAATAATTTTTTATACCTCAGCATCGAAAGACATCACTCTTTACGTGATTGCACGGAATCTATTGCACTTGCAAGTGCTCTTACGAATACATACTGATCATTTAAGCATAGTATAGATCAGCAAAAAATTGCAATATACGAACGCAATGTAAAATGATCGCATAAAATTTTTCGGTCTGAAAGACACAGTCTATGTCAACATCCACACGAGATTATGGTATTTGTAATCATTGCGCATTCACAGCTTTGCATTACTAAGTATAGTACACTTTTATTAACGCATGTTCCATCGCCTATGCAATCAAGATGACGAACAATGTTACATCCCGATAATTCTTTCTTAAAAATGCACTTAATAACTCTTTACATTGCATTGTCAATAATCCCACTAAGTTCATTGTGGTACCAGAATCACACGGCGTTTGTTGCTCTGAATGAATAGACCACGTATATTTGACATGCAGCCCTCAGGTCAGTTACCTATGATAAATGATGTGATCGACGTCCATTCATGACAAATTGGTCTACCATCCGTCAATCTCTTAGAATAGTAAAGATTAGTATGAGAATTGGTTTAGCCTTAGTAATAGGTAGTTGTATGAGGTTTGTTTCCGATAATACTTAAAGATGTAAATGTCGGTTCCCCTTTCGATCTAGTGTTGACACGTGCTTTTTCCAGGCGTTAGCTTATCGCTAAGAGTAAGACCTTTTGGTGGTGCAATCTATAAAGCACTTCGTGCGTACAATCCGTAGAATCGCTGTTAGTCCCCTGAACCAGGACTAGAATCTCTACGAGCGTGATGACTTTCTGAGTCTTCTTTGATTAGTTTTAAGATCTAGAGACTCTTTGACTTATTGGTTTTAGCTCCGTAGAACTAAATGACGTTAAGAGTATTACTTCTTCCTGTGTTACTCCGCTAAATTGCAGCTAATCGTTACTTCACACATACGTCAGGCAACGTAATATTATAGCCGCATTAGACGCTTTTGGTAAGTTGTCCACTCCATCTACACCTGATATAACGCGTGCATTACATTTTCTTACGAGCCTTCTGCTTTCTGAAACAGTGATTGTTATAAATCGTGTCGACTACCAACACCCTTAGTTGAGACAATAGTGCTCGCATGTAAGTGATTTTTTCTGCAATTCACGCCGTGGCTAGAACGAAACAACGTATAGTTTAGCTGTAATAAAATTCAGAAACTTTAGGCGAATGGTGTATAACCGAGTGGAAACATTGTAAGACGTCCATTCAGATACGAAAGTGTGCCCTGTGTCGTGTGTTTGTGCTCTATCCCTTTCTAGCTAGGGCATGAGGTTGCCGGTACGGTAATTATAGATACCGATATAGAGTATGTGGCGATAGAAAACTCGGGTGTGGGGATAATCATTTCTTTGTATTACGGAGGTTTACTTTTCCTTCTATTCTAAACAATCCTTTGCCCAGTTATCAGCCTTCCTCTGTACGTACCGCGCGCGTTGTGTTTTGGAGCACACAACTCTGCACCATCATATGTGAAGAGTTAAACCAGTTATCTGGTTTGCGCACGCCCTGTCACACCGATGCTGTACATTTATTGAGCTAAATGCTGCTTTTGTCAAGTCACACGCAGGTTCAAAGTCCGCCGGTCGTAGAAACATCAATCACATCTGTGGTTTTGAACACTATTGATGACAAATTTGCAACTTTTCGAAAAAAAACGTGCATATTTGTACTAAACGTTGTTTAAATGAAGACCGATAATGTTTGTATTTAGGGGCGTACTATGATAAACATGATTCTCGGTTCTCGAACCAGTAGGTGTTTCTACTCTATTGCACACTTTCTTCACTGTCTACAGCGTACGCGAATCTCGCTACAGCTCTTGTAGACATCCTTCCCTTGCCACATCAATGGCGCATTAAACAACACGACGAATGAAGCACTTATTTCAATATTGGGAGAAACACTACAATTCGTGTAGACATCCTTCCCTTGCCACATCAAAGGCGCATTAAACGACACGACGAATGAAGCACTTATTTCAACATTGCTAGTACGTCGTAAACGAGTTATAAGGATGAGCTCGTGAGTAGTTTGATGACATGTCATAAATACGCGCTCATCGCTGTGAGCTGTCTGAGGCCTTGGTATTCTAACTGAGTAGTGAGAGGGCGGCACACCTGTAATATTTGTTTTCGTATCAGCTGTAATATTTCGTCGACATTCCGGTCGCCCAATTCAATCAATCTATCCATGGGTCTTCACATATCAGCCCATCTAACACTTGATGACTTTGAGAGGCTATGCGCAATAGAATCTTGGTCACTAGTTTATCAGTACGAAGTGAGACCGAACTATCGTTATTCGGATGTAAAAAAAACTCGGCAAATTCATTGCTCGCACACCTTGATGATAAATCTGACTCATGATCCGTCTGCAGAACCATACAACCCGTAGAACCAACTCTTGGTGATCGAGATGCATCTTGTACTCGACTTCCGACCAATCTGAGGGTATCAATGCTCATTGATCAAAGGCTTCCATACTGGGCGTTACCTGTTACGAAAATGTTGCTGACATTCAGACGGACTTTAGTTGCTTTACTTTGCCAGGTGAAGTTGGCGAAGCGTGCCATGCAGAGCAATGTGCTACGTCCGAGTATATCGGGAGTCCTTTACCTGCGCTCTAACCCTTTAGTAAGGGCTGATAAACAACTGCTGTTTACCAGTGGTCGACAAGAAAGCGTTTAAACGTACGTTACTTGGCACCAGTCATGATACATTTCGACAGACATTCAGAGCAGAATACGGCGAGAAACGTGGACACAGTTGACGAGGCTTACTCTACGAGGAATAGCCGTTTTGATTTACCTCAGGTTTCTATCAAAAACTAAAAACCTTTTCGCCTCAGTCAAAAGGTATTTGCTTGGATGCGCACTTGCTGCTTTGTATAATGTACATGAGGTGGTGTGGCTATCACTAGAACCTTCGTCAATATAGGTGACAAATGGTTCTATGACCCATAATTCTCTAAAAATGTGGAAAACGTTACAAGAGCCGCTCCTATTCGTAGGAACCCAGGAAGCCAGTAAGGATTCTTGTGGGTAGTACCGGAATAACGGGATGCTAATTGTAGCACTAATAGTCAGAGCTGTGCGACAAAGGCTCAACATGGCACAGCTTGGGGATAAACGCCTACCCAATAAAGTACATCCAGCTTCACTTTACATTGTCATCTAGCATCGGTGCTACTGCATCTTCTTGCATCAGAAATGCATTTAAGGATTAAAAGTCAAAGTTGTTACACAGATCAGGTTTTATCCTGCTTATTGCGTGCAAATAAATCTTCATTATAACCTCTTAGAAAAGCATGATGCAAATCGTCTTCCTTCGGATGGCTGTGTGGCACAACAGTCCAGTATTGTTGCGTGCAAGGCCTTCGAGCTGAGAGAAGGCCGCACAGATTCGATTCTTGATTCTTTGCTGAATATGTGAGCAACATTAAATGAATTGGATTTTTTTCGGAATATTGCTGTGCAACTTCGCTGAAAATTTACATCTGCAAATCATGGAGGTAAGAGAAATTCATTCGATAAAAAAGTGGCGCTCTGCCGAGTTTACCTGCGTTTCTACAATAGATGAACGACTGCGGAGCGCGCAAACTGTGCTGTGTAAGATGGCGGCTTTTCGTTGCCGTTAACAGACGGCAAAACCGATATACATCTTTCCGGCTGTCGAAGCCTTTGTCGGCATCCTGCCATCTGGCGCTTTCTCAAATCGCTTCTTGTGCAGCTCGTACACTACTACTGGATGCACGCTGGTCGAAATCGCCGTAGCGACTTTACGTTTGTGCCTTGATAAGACTCCGGACTCCCGACAATGAGTGCCGCCGCCTGATAAACGTCTCACCTACAGACAGCCAGAGCGAGTCAGGGCTGATCGTGCGTTTGTGCTCAGCGTGTGTACAAATAGCCATGCAGCATGAAATGTAGCGACATGTCTGGTGGGAAAGGACGGACTTCTGAATCTGGTTTGGTCCCCCCCCCTCTTTTTTCAAAAGAATGTTCTTGATAACCTGTAAAGACGGAATGTCTGTGTAGCCATACGACGAGCGAGAGTCTTATGACTTGTCGTTTCTGCCGAACGACCTGTCACATCAGAACACCTTCAAAACAAGATGCTCGGGCCTCGCCTGTCCATTCGCACGGGTTCTAAAATTTTAGTAGCAAGGACGCGACGATTTACGTGCAGCAGAAGGACTACGAGCGCGCGAGAACGGGCAGGCCCCGCCCGGATTTAGGCCGCGCGGCACTCGCTTTTCGCGTCGCTCGCCTCTCTGCCAGCCAGTCTTGCCCCGCCTGAGCATCTCATAAAAAGCAGAAGAGACGGCCTCTGGACTTGGAGACTGCGCAAAAAAGCGAACGACCGTCGCGTCCTGATCCAAGTGGCTTCCTCTTGCAAGCGCCACTTGACACCCTGCGTTTGCCTCGCCAAGTCGCATATTTCCTAGCCCAGCACGCCCAGGCCACTCCTAATCGGCTCAATCGCAAATCGCCGAACTTTCCAGCAGAGCACCCGCAGCAACTCGGTTCCGCCGCCCATCCACTTCTTTCTCGCGCCCTTCACTGTCCACATCACTAGTTAAGATGGCAGCCGCACCAGGCTTGCCAGTCGACTCGGCGCCTGTGGACGCCGTCTACGACGCACCAACTTTGACTGAACAGCAGCTGCAGCAGCAGCAGACGGCACTGATACCTGAGGCCGGTGAGTTGCTGAGCCGCGTGGCTACCGAGGTCAGCCAGGCTTTTCAGACGTCTCTTGTCCAGGTGCGTGAAAAAGTGAATGTTACAAAGGGACGACAGCAACTGCGACGCAGAAAGCGCAATGGCGGGTATGGACCTGGAGCCGCGCCTACTATTTGTTGTTTGGTCGTCCGTCCGTCCGTCTGTCTGTCTGTCTGTATCGGAGCTCGTCGATTTGGAAATGAAATGCAATCCCTGACGATTAGTACGTGTTTTGTTTCGTCTTGATTCGGGTTGACTGTAGGTCATGTCGGACATTGGCCGCGAATATGGGGTCGAGTCCAGCCGTGTCAAGTTTGCAAGGGTACGTGGCAACGACAGTAGTAGTAGGTCATGGTTTTTTTACTGTGTGTGTGTGGGCCTTTCTGGTTCGAATCCCGGGTTTTGATCAACTAACGGTGGGATACAAAACGGTGGTCCCTCGTTTGTTCCGTTAGCTCGGAGTCTCTATTTGCGCTCAAATCACGCCTTTCGAAGGCCTTCGCACTATTTGACTGACTGACTGACTGACTGATGTGATCTGTTTGCTTTTTGCACACTGGCTATGTCGCGAAAGATGGAGAAAGGCGATGCCGCTGTTGCATCAGGTGACGAGCAGCTGCTCGGGAAGTCAGGGCGCGACGACGTCCACCGCCTCTCGCACGAGCTCGAGCTCCTGCGCCTTCAAGTGCGACAACTGCAGCAAGTTGTGGACGAACAGCACGACGAGCAGCGACTTTCGCAGCACAAAGTGGCGCTTTTGAGCACGCTCGCGAGGAAACTCAAGCGCGATCTTGTGGACGAGCGGCTGGCGCTTGTCGACGCCAAGAACGAGATCAAGGAACAGCGACAGCGACGCAGTAGGGACGACGTCGGGTCAAGCGCTGGAGGACGTGCGCGATCTCCTCACTCTCCTTCCGTCCAGGAGCCAACTGAGAACCCGTGGACGTCACCAAACGAGGTTATTGCTGGCCCTAGTAGTGCCGTCAGCGGTTCAGGTGCGACGGCTGGTGCTGCAGGAGGGTCGAGTCTCCTGACTTTCGACTTTTATCCATCGGCGTCGTCTAGAGGTGGAAATGACCTTGAGAGTGGTGATGACGAGGAGGGTTCATCACCTTCTTCCACCACACAGACACTTCGCCATAGTTGTATGGACCAGTTTTTGCCGTCAGCATTGCTGGATTCACCTCAAGTTACACCAAGACATGTCAAGGCTTTTGTCGATGTTCCACTTGACGAGGAGAAAGCACCATTACCTTTTGCACAGGGTGCGGATGACTTGCAGTCGCCATTGCTTCCAGTACCATTACCATTATCCGGTGATTCGCTGACTACCAGTGCGACCGTTAAGCGTCAGAGTCTGAAAGATGGTGAAGGAGACGGACGAAATGAGACAAGCCACGGTGATAGCGCCAGGGTGGCGACGCCGTCCACAGTAACACCCGTAACGCTGTCAATGCTATCGGAAGTTTTCGACGACGTTCCGGTCAAGGAATTGGAGATGATCCTGCAGCGCTTTGACGATCAGGAATCAGCAGCAATTGATTACATTTTGAGCACTCACCCAAGTTTGAATCCAGTCAGTGGAGCTCAAGGAACTGGTGAGGGCGGCAGCAATTTGGCATCGATGACGTCGCCTCCGCCGTCTCGATCGTCTGTAGTTGGTCACAACAAGACGATCACGCATCGGAGCGGTAATCAGAGCGGACCGATTGAACCTCCACCAGGATCTGTGAACAACTGGAAGACAGAGATTTGCATGTATTACATGCAAGGGAAATGCAACAAGACGAGACGCACGTGTTCATTTGCCCACGGTGAGAGTGACCTGGTGCGTCCCAGTGGTTTGAGCAGCAATGCTGCTAATAGCAAGCACGTGCCTGGCTACAAGACTCGGATATGTCAAGCTTACGAAAATGGGACCTGTGCAAAATCTCGTCGTGACTGCCCGATGGCTCACGGAATGAATGATCTTCGCGATGGAGGCTCTGTAAGCGGCGGCGGTGGAGGCAGTCAGACGATCGTGCCTCCTGCTACTCCTAGATTGCAGAGCTACAAGACAGAGCTCTGCTACTACTTTCTGAAAGGCAACTGCAACTACTCGAAAGAGGAGTGTCGTTTTGCACACGGCCAGAGTGATTTACGAACGGTGGAGGGCAACACGGCACAGATGGCTGCTGTAGCCAGTGGCTCCAGTTTCGGTAGCGACTTTAGTCCGAGCTCACCTGTTCCCCCGCCCCCGCCGGTCTCGATGGATAAACAATTGCAGCTCCAGTACCAGTATCAGCAACAGTACCAGCAGCGCCATCGACCACCACCAGCGGCCTCTTTTCAGCTGCAGCCTCCTCCAGCCCAGCAACCGAATTTTGTACCTCAACACCAGATTCAGTTGCAGCAGTCGTCGCGAGGAGGAGGTGGACAGCACCAATTTGGTTTCCAACACCAACCGTATGACCCGACTCAACAGCACCAGCAGTACATGCAACACCCTGGTGGTCAGTACCGTTACTTGAAAACCATGGAGGACAAGCGTCCAACGTTGGCTGGACGTCTGCCACGACGGGACTCTGGGTCATCCTGGAGCAGTTTTGATGCATCCGGGCTACCACCGTCGGAGTATTAGAACGGGGACTCGTCTGCGCTCCAAGTCGATGCCTCGTCCATTACTGCCGTGCGCATCCCGGGACGCACGGTGTGTAGCCAATTTTTGCATTTTTATTTACATCTCCGGAGTATTGGATTGGAAATGCCTGTAGCTTAGCTGCACGGTTCGGATTGCCACGATTTGGCTGCGCACGAGTACATGTGCCCTTATTCCGACCACAGCTGAAGGTCAAGCTCAGGACAAGCAGACGATAAAGTTGAAGGGCAGTGCGGGTTGAAAATGGATACGCGGACAAGCGCGTCAAAACAAAGCAGCAAGCAGTACGCGAGAAGTAGTAGCAGTAGTAAGTACATTTGTAGAACAGCAAGCGCTTGGGTAGATTTGCCTAATATGTACGATAGAAGAACGTGGTTGCTGCTTTGTCTGCCTGGCAAATTGTTCGTCGAGACCATCACCCGCCATTGTCCCCCGACAGGAATCTACCTCCTCACTCGAACGTCTCTCCCCCAGGGCAAGCAGCTTATTGACCACCTCGGTCGTAGTCGCAACGAGCATCTTCACCTGTCGATCCAAAAAGCGTCCGCTGCTGGAATGACGTGAAGCAGGCCAAGAGGTCCTGCACATTCACTTGCACTGGCACAACAGCTCCGTTCACGAGCATCCGCACTGGACGGTAATAGCCGCCGCCGCCATCATCAGCTTGTTGTTGCTCCTGCAAAGTGTCGTTTGTCTGGTGTTCTTCCTCCGCCTCTTCGGAAAACATCAACCTACTCCTCTTAAACTCCGAAACCTCCGTCGCCACTACCGCTCCAGTCTCCTTCAGTCGTCGACGCCTCGACGGCACGAGCTTTTTGACGTACACGTAGATCTCGCACTGGAACGGCTCGTGCGTCTTGCGCTTGAGGTAGTTCCTGTAGCTTCTGTCCACGCGGCTCTGGAAATTGTCGCGCGTGATCTGCACCAGCTCCGCCTGTTTCGAGTGAGCGCCCGGTCGCATGTACATGGCCATGTCTTGGCGCACGTGGCGCTCCCCCTGGAAGCTGCTCAGCACCTTCTCCGTGCACGAGTCCGCTTTGGCTCGGAGCACGTCCAGTCCCTCGGACAGGAGGAAGCTGAAGGTGATGATCGTCAGGTGTTTGCGCGACGTGCGCGACACTTCTCCGATCTTGACCGTGAGCAGCGCCGTGACTTCGTCCGGTACAGCTCGACGGTCGATTTCGGAGCTCATGCTTTGAGCTCCTACACATCTGGTCATAGGGATCCGACCACTCACATTGGTGCTCATAACTCTATTACTAATACGAGTTAGACGCTGTCGTTTGACTTTGATATGCGCACAGCTTTCAGATACCCCTCTGCAGTGTTAATTTTCGATCATATAAAACGATCTCATAGCTCCCATTCACAAAACGCTTTTTGTGCCCGGCAAAAAGTATACGGCCACACCGAGCATACAAATACGAAGTAGCAAGGATGCTTGTTGAATGTTCAGGGTCATGATTCATTCTTTTATACTTGTAATTTGTAAAGAGCGCGAAGTAATTGGAAGTGAACGGAGTATGCCCGGCATTCTTGACGCAATTGACCAAAGAAAGTGCGCTATGGCAGCAAGAGTAGCTACAGCATGATAGCTCATAACGTAGGTTCGTGCTCGCACCAACAAGAACACAAAAATACGCTCCCGTGACGATGCTTTGTGCGTTTGGTGACTAAACGCACGCGACTTTTCAAGCCGCGAGTACGTCTAATCGTGCGACCTATCTGGTAATTCACTCGGTATCGAACTCCAACAATCACTTTATTGCATAGCTGTGTGCTATGTACATACTGCTGGCTGTCAAGTTTACATTTTACCACAATCGACACTTGTAAAAGATTGCGTTTGTTGCCTTTCCAAACGCATAAAGTATCGTCACGGGAGCGTATTTTCGTGCGCTTGTTGGCGCAAGCACGAACCTACGTTATGAGCTATCATGTTATAGCTACTCTTGTTGCCATAGCACTTTTATTGGACAATTGCATTAAGATTGCCGGGCATACTCCGTTCACTTCCAATTACTTCGCGCTCTTTACAAATTACAAGTACAAAAGAATGAATCATGACCCTGAACATTCAACAAGCATCCTTGCTACTTCGTATTTGTATGCTCGGTGTGGCCGTTTACTTTTTGCCGGGCACAAAAAGCGTTTTGTGAATGGGAGCTATGAGATCGTTTTATATGATCGAAAATTAACACTGCAGAGGGGTATCTGAAAGCTGTGCGCATATCAAAGTCAAACGACAGCGTCTAACTCGTATTAGTAATAGAGTTATGAGCACCAATGTGAGTGGCCGTATCATTATGACCTGGAGTGTATTAAGAGCCCGCAGGAGAAGTAAATATGTTGACATTATCTTCGCCTTTTTCGAACGAGATAAACCACGCGGTAAGCTATTTGCCAGAACGAAAACGATGGATCCAAAGGTGCGCAATCTCTACAAGCGCTTCTTGCTGGTCGGGCGCGACTATCCACTAGGGCTAAACCACGTGCGGGAGAAGGCAAAAGCCGCTTTCATGGTCAATCGCAACCTTACGGACCCCGTCGCGATGAAAAGGGCGATCAAGCGCGGACGCTGGATGGTACGCGAGATTATAGGCGTCATCCAGCTGAAGAAGTACAGGACGCTCAATAGCCGCTACACGTCCGAGGAACTGCGCGAGAAGCTGCGCGACATTGAGAATCGCCAGGTAATGAACGAACGCGAATCGCAAGACAACAAGAATGGCGATGCGGAGAAGTGCTGAGAACCTTCTGGTCATGTAACTTTCGTCGAGACCGACCCGATTTTTAATAATATCAGTGCTTGCTATCGCATGTCAATAAGTCGTTCCTCGTCTGGTTTCGCCTTGTCGACTTTGTATCGCGCAAGGTATTTGGAGATTCTTAGTGAGTAGTCGCTGACCAAAGAAGCGTTCAGGCGAATGAAAAGCTGGGATCCGGTTACGATATTATCCAAATGTTGGGAACGCAGTGTGGAGGCACACACTCGAACGACATTTTGTATCGCTCGTAGGTTCGTGTGCGCCACACTGTGACCCCGTGCTCATCGGCTGCGTTCTGGCTTTTGCAAACAGACGACAAGCGCGGAAGCGGCTGTTCGGTCGTCAGACGGGGCGACGCAATCCGCCACGTGAGACTCGTTTCTGTAACCGCGGAATAGTCCAATCGAAAATTTGTCATAAAATGCAAGCCCAGCAATAGCTCTAAAGTGGGAAAGCTGACGCTACGGACGCACGAAATCCGTCGAGCTCTTTTCGTCACCGCAATTCCTCGCTTGCCATTCTCCGTTTGCTGTTGCCGCAAATATCGTATAAAGACTGCACTTGACATGGTGTTCATCTCACTGCAGGACGTCGTTAGTGAGGGCAATGCCGTCGGTGTGAACATGAAGCAGATTGCCAAGCCAGCGGCTACTATCCGCGTAGTAGTGACCCCAGGTTGCCCAACAAAGCAGCTAGACACTCCGTTTGCACGTGGCAGTCTCTTTTACGTTTCCACGAGACGAAGAACACCGTCGTCTCTCGTGTTGTACGTCTCGATCAGCGCCGTGCGTCACAAGTGGGTGCTCCACAAAACTTCGGATGACTTCACGCATGTGCGCGAGGATATTCGTCGAGTGGGGAACGGGTGCAAAGGATCTGCGTGCTGTGGCCATGTACAGCGCCTTCTCAAGACCTCTCTGGATGTCGGTACACGTCGAAGAAGAGAACCGAGCGCTGGTTTACAGTACGATCAGTGCCATGTATTCCAAGCGTATGCAAACGGCTTGGTGCAAGTCGTGCTCGGTGTTGGCCACGGTCTTCAATGTCACACCATGCAGCGAATACGACACATTCTCGAGGAGTTTCTTGACATTGCAAGCCATTGCACACATGCTTTTGATCGCGTGCTGTGCGACGACGATCCAGTAGCAACAACACCGATGCTAGTGTCGAAACAGCCTTCTTTACAAACCGGCGTCGGATGCGGTGATGGAAGTGGTGACAGCTGCGAGTGTCCGATCTGCTGCGGTAATTTGGCCGACGACAAAACGCGGCGTCTACTGTGTGGTCATAACTACCATGCAGGATGTTTGCAAGTGTGGTTGAACCTTCAGCCCACGTGTCCAGTATGCGGGGTGCATCTGGGCAAAGAAGTTGAGCCAGAGTAGCGTGCGTTGGTTGTAGCTATGACGTGGAAGGATGTTGATTGTGTACAGTTTGGAGAACATGGACAGCGTCAAGTGCAAGTGAAGTATCTGTCGCAAGTGCTAATAAGATGGAGGCAGCCGCTAGCAATCAGTCAAGAAAGTCTATCTACGACCACTTCACCTATTCTTGACTTCTCTGCGCTTCATGTCGCTTCGTACGTGAGATTTCAATTAATGCCACCGAGCTACAGAACACAGAGCGTCAGCTCTCACATGTACTGAAGAAACGGGGAGCCTGTAGCCTTGTGTGGCTCAGCCATCGATAATTTGCTCAAGTCGTTGGTACTTCATAGGTTACGTTGTAGCGAGACTAATTCCTCAACCTCGCTGCTTCTATCTCGCTAACTAGACGCTGCTTCTATCACTGATGGTGCTGATTTTCTCGTCGTCTTCGTAATACGACGTTCCGTACGCTAGGAAAAACTCCTCGCGCACAGACACCTCTTTCCACGTGACGATGTACAACTGGTTCAGCACGATCGGACTTGTCGTATTCTGTGGATTCTCGATCACACAGCCGGGCACAAGAATGCAGTTGTTGTAAAATCCAGACGCGTCCCAATAAACGTCCGCGGGGTATTCGTATACACGATCATTCGGGAAACCGCCAACGGATCCATCCGCATCGACCAAACCGTCAAAAGGCATCAAGCGGTGACCGTACTGTGTCTGGAACTTGTCCACGTCGCGAACGGTGCCATTGACAACAACAAAGGTCTCCCCCAGCTCGCCGCACCGTGCTACCTTGTTCAAGCCATCATGGTGCATTTCTTTCGTAATTCGCCGGACACCGAAAATGCAGACTACCGAGAACGCTGGCCATGTGTGGGCTGAGAGATTAAACAGTCCTTTCCCAGCATTGGGAATGCCCGAAACTGCGACACCAACTGTGCCATTATCATTCGTCTCCTGAAACGTGATCGTTTTCAGGTCAACCTTTCGAAATAGCAACTTGGGAGGCTTTGGAATTCGTCGCTTTACAGCGGCCAGCTCAGCATCGGTTAGGTCGGATTGAGGTGGACTAGACGCTTCGCTTTCAGTGACGGGAGAAAATGACGCACTAATGCTCTCCAACTTCCGCTTTTTCCTGAATGAAAAGCAATCACGCGTTAGAACGAATGGCAGCATCAAGAATAGATAGCACGCAACGTACTTTGCCTCCTGGTCAAGCGTTGGAAACATCTTCATTTGCCGAGAAATCATGCTTTTCATAGCCAATGAGTAAGCCTTCATCGGATTCTTAGTGGCAAGCACCTTTTGGCAAAGTTTCACCATATGCACTGAAGGGTTTGCCACCATGTGGTGGCGGCAACGATGACACAGTTCTTTTGCAATGTAGCACAAATCGGACTTTATCTTGACTTTAGCAACCATTTCACGCGCCATCGTATCCAGCTTGAAGACCTTGATCAGCTCTGCAACGAGTGCACTCGATTGTACGTTCGACTCATCTTCGGCGGTCTTCAGAATTGCATCTGTCGCAGGACTATTAGCAAACTGAATTGTCTTCACCCGTCTTACCTTCCCAAATACAAATGCTGAAGGGTTCTGACACTTCACATACTCCATTTTTTTCCACATGTCGTCTAGCAATGAGTGCTCGATGTCAGAAACAGCACGCGCTGCAGTCGGATCAAGGTCCCACGTGCACAGGAACGCGCCACGCAGCAAAATCAGAGAGTCCTTCGCGTTTTTTCTCTTCCCGGAATTCACAAGATTTGAGGATGACGACTCATGCAGCAGCCACGGCATTATTGACTTGGTGTAATGATGCAAAAACATCTCACCACCGCGTCTGCCTCCCTTTTCAGCCGGATCCCAGTGATTATAATCAAAATACTTGGTATTCAAGTCGAGAACAGCGTCAAGTTCCTCCATTTCTTGAGGTGACGCACGCTCTAGGTAGATCTCCCATGGCCCCGGTTGGATGTTGTGCTTCCTCATAAATGCCACAACCTTGGGAGGCGCTGATGGTTTAATGGGTGATGTCGAAGCATCGGACACGAGCCCAACCTCTCGCTCCAGCATATCGAATGTCTCATCAATCTTGAGCATGGAGTCGTGTCTTCGTATATCTGCTTTATCTGCTACTGGCGCCGAGTACTGCATCCCCCACTTTGTCCAGAACTCGAACACCGCTCGAACATTGAGCTATATGAAAGCAAGCAATTACTCGTATCACTAATCCAAGCATTTGACATACACAAGTCGCAACAATCATACGTACATTGTGCTTTACATCGCCTTTCATCCTTTGCGTCAGCTGAAACAGGATCTTTTCGAGGGATAGCACCAGTGCAGACTCGCGCATTTTTGCATTACGGTCTTTTTGTGGACAATTTGCGCGAACCATCTTAATGACATCGTGGACAACGTACACAATGCTGGCCCTAGCTTTTGGAGAGTGCATAGCATTCATCACCCAAGCTAGCTTCCGACATATAGCTTCGTGTAAATGCTGATGACAAACAATAAACTTCGAGCAGGCCTAGAAAAAAGGCAAGAGAGACACACAACTCACTCACTCAACGAGTCGCTCTTCACCACAAGTTTACACAGCACGCACCTGAACAGCCGACGGCTTCGTGTCTAACTGGTCAATCAGCAAGTCAAATTCCAGCATCGGGTCACCAAACGTGTGCGAAATCGCCTTGGCCGACGACTCCAGTTCTTCCATCACTTTTAGCTTCTCCTGCAGCTTTTCTTCCATTTCCACGTTCACTTCCGACACAATAAATCCAATCACTACGCCGTCTCGATCCGTGCACAACGACTGAATGGAATCCGAACTTGCTCCTATTACAAACACATCGCATAAAAACGAAAATTACCACACAATACCAACAAAAATCAGCTCATTATCCCACACAAAAACAGCATTCCGTGCCTCTAACCTACATACCACTCTTCCGTAGTCGATGCAGACACTTTAACCCCTTCAATGCCGCTGGTACCAGCAAATAGAGCGTGAAATTGAACGTAGAAGCCACGAATTGCACGCACAGCGCACACTCGTGTTTCTTCATGTAAACCTTCATCTCCTCACAATTCTTGGCGAAGAACTTGCAGAAAAAGCCCTTGTGCGGGATCGCAGACAGCTTGGCCTTGGTGCTGACTACGAGGCGACGTGGAAAGTCCCGCAAGAGCGCGCGTTTCTCTGCTGGGAGGCGTCCGATTAGGTCAATGGAGTGACCTTGGAACTTGACGTCCAGCCGCCAATTGTCACTCATGTTGGTCACCAGTAGAGATACACAGAAGTGCCTCTTGAATCAGTTCCAGGCCCCACGTGGCTCGGAAACGTGCAGGGACAAGCTCCTGGACGCGGTTCAGCAAGAGACGGAGGCGCAGCGACTCGAGAGGCTCTGGGGACGACGCGACGATGAGTTAATGCACTGTATGAGCACTGGTGTGTGGACAGGGTCGAGGCCTTGAGGATCAGGTGATCGGGCGTGATAACGGAGATGCACAGATGCTGTGAGAAGGACCGGCGTGAAGCGCTTCCGGCACGCTTGGGCAAGATAGGTAGGTAGGTAGGTAGGTAGGCGACGACTGCCTGGACCACCCAGTACTGAAGGAGAAGAAGGATGATTGGTCGATATGAAACCGTGCATGGTTCGGATTGGTGGATATTACATCTGACGTCACATGCACACAAAGAGAACAAAAGACTTGACGACATCTGGGGATGGGGCCACGGCCTTTTTCTTACCCGCAATGCAGACGCGATGAGGACATAATTGTAATTACTTTAGTTTGAGATGCGGTGGCGACGTCGCCTGTTGCCTTCGAGTCGCACGTGACCAATAGATGCGACGGAGGTGACGGCTTGTTGAAGGTGTGCCAACTGTGTTGTTACGTTGGGATGAATACCGTAGCGTTGGGAGGTCAGTACTACGTTTGGATAGTAACAACAGCAACATGTTACGCACTGCTGGTCGAGCTGGACAAGTATCGAACAATATCCTCGGCAGGGCTGAGTCGACAACGCGGCAATGGCATCCCCGTACTTGACCGCGCTCGCGCTTTTCGGTGCACATGCTGCGAGCCCTTGAGGCCTTATCGAGTATGCAATGCTGAGCATTTATGCCACGAGATCAGGCCTTGAAGGTCGGAATGGCTCGTGGTTTACCACGATTCCGAATACAGATTGCGGGAGTATTTCATCCTGTTTCCAGTAGTGGTTGGACTGCTTGGAAGCTTGCAGGACAGGTTTCTTGTGCCGGATACAAAAGGCTGTGTTGTAATGCAGCCACTTTTCGCTGTGTGCTTTATTGCTACTTGATTCCGGCGGGAACACATTTGCCTGCTATCTGCCACGTGCGCTCAGCGATGCCAAGTATCTTTTGATCGCAAACGTTTTTTTTTTAAGAAAAACGTGACACAGCTCTATCGTCTTCGCCGATTGGGTACTAGGTCGACGCGACAAATAGACCTGTTGCCGGCAGCACACCCATTCACAAGACATACCCGCCGGCTTCGTTACAGAAATATTCTGGGTCACGCAGCATCAGAGAAGGCATGGGCATTTGCTAGCTTGACAACTGGAACAAATTGCATACGATTGCAACATCTACGACAACAAAACGCAAGAGCTTCTTTGTATCTGATCGTTTGGTGTAGTTTGTATCGACTCAATCTGTTCTCGAGCCATGAACGCTCGAAGGCCGAATGTCAACACGCGTCAGAAGATGTCGTCGCAACTTTATATTGCTGACGCCTCTTCGCCATCCTGATCAGAACGCGGTTCGGACATTAGGTTCACACGTCCCTCGAAAGTCGTTAGCATACATCACATAAACTTGTACGCACCTCGATATCGTCGTCACGGCGATCGCGTGCCATACGCTCGCGCTTCACTGGTGGTACACCATCAATTTGTGCACCCTCAAAAGAGTCGCTTCGTCCTCGCTTCTTAGTACTGGACGATCTATCTTTGGACGCTCCATGGTCAAACTCTTTTTCTCCGTGATCCCCTTCCTTCGCAAAACTGGTTTCCACGCATCCAGGCTTGATCGTTGAAGCAACGGTAGATTCTTCGCTCGCCGCGGCGGTACCTATGTCAAGAATACCCTTGACAAGCGAACCCGTACCCTGTACCGCCAAGTCCAAACAATCCACGTTTGTCTTCATTGCAGCGCGCATCGTTCGCCAACACACCATCTCCTCTTTGTCTGGCCAGTACTGCTCTTCGATGCCGTTTTCAGGGTTCCAAGCTTCTTCGAACAAGTTCGTGTACGTGGCTATGGAAACCTCAGAGGCTGGATCATTTTACAACAAATGATTAGAGGACCGCCAACTGAAACCACAGAACGTCCCAAAACGCACCTCGCTCTTTGCCTTTGAGTGTCTCCAAGATCTGCGATGGCTTCGAGCTCTCTGACAAAATCTGCTCCAACAACGGCGAGGTCAAATGCCGACGGGTACGCTTCGCCGCTGGCTCGAGAGCCTCCAAACACTCGTCCTCCGTCACAGAAGGATACTTTTCGTATCCCGGACACTTTTCCTGCTTCCATTTGACCCAATTACGCTCTCGCTCAAGAACGTAAGATACCATCTCGCTATAACCTTTTCCATCCAATGGCGTTTGCTTCAACAAGGCAACTACACGCTCAGTCAAAGCAGCCAACTTCGTCTTTGGCGTAGTACTACCAGCAGGGGGCTTTGCCCTGGCGAGGTCGTTGAAAAGGATAAGAAACTGCGTCAGCATGCACTCGCGCAAGATGGGGTCACGGAGCTGCAGTCTGAAAAGACGGCTGTTGGTCAGGTACTTGGGCTGAAAGAAATGTTCTTGCGAACGCTGCTCTGCTGCAACCTTGATGGAGTCGTTAGCTGACCCGAGACCTGCTACATCTGCTGAGCAGATGAGACCACCACTTGAGTCTCGTGAGCGCTCCAGATCATCTGGCGAGAATGAGTTGCCTTCAAATGCTTCTAGTACTACGTCCAATTCAGTGAACTGCGCACATAACGTATCGACAGTGCAGCACTTGCCGTCAGGACTCCAAATCACACAGCTGCCATTAGTTCACACGTACAAATTTCTCCCAGTTCTCCGATGACTGGACGACCATCTGGTGTTCGCGAAAGAAGCTCTGCAGATCCCAAAAGGTACGATAGAGCTTGTAGTCCATAGGACCAGCTTCGACGCTAGAATTGCTGGTATCAATCTGCCAGCAGCACCAACGATATTACGCCCGACACATCCTAAGTTTGACTACCAATACCACGTACAAGAAACAAGTACAGGTTTTACCTCCAGTGAAAGCGCGGCACCCTCCGAAACCTTTGCAGCATCGGAAGCTTCAGCCAACTCAAACGCCTCTTCATCTTCGTAGACAGTCACGTTCGTCACGTTCGCTTTGCCCGTGAGATTGACCGCCGAGCGCTCAGACAGAGCGAACGTGAACGACAAGAAGATCAGAATCTTGCCGCAAAACACGCTGTTATGCGTCTTCGACAAGCGACGTAGCAAAGCGTTGCACATCCGGAGCAAGCATAGTGACGCCTTTGTTGTGCGGCCCTTCTCAGCGATGAAATCCGGCTGCATCAACCAATCACAAGATAAACAGCATCACTCAGCCGTAAGTGGAATGAATCCAAGAGAGACTTGTACACTGAGTGCAGCACGCACCGTCGTGAGTTTGTCCTTGCGGGTTTCCAGTAGCTCCCATATCTTCTCGCACGCACTGATAGTCTGTCCCTCCATCAAATCTTCCAGCACCTTATACGGCGTACTATTGATAAGGAACTTCTTGGTCACCCCCGCGATGCAAAGATCGAGGAGCGCCGGGACGCCCACGCTGTTCGGGCTCGCGTGAGCTTCGGTCAGGAGCTTCCAGGCTAATTTCTCTGCAATCTTCTGCACTGCAAGGTCCAGTACATTGTGCGTGAACTCCTGCGGTCGCGGAACCTGGAGCAGCTTCTCCACGGCTTCAAGCGTGCGGCAGTGCAGTTGGTCCAGGCGTGAGAGCGCGTCGTCGTGTGCAAAGAAGTCACCGATGGATTCCTGTGCAACGGTCAGAGGGTTTGTCAGTGAGTGTGGAATGCAATGGGAAGCGTGGGGGAACGAGAAGGAGGAGACGGCGCACCTCCGCGGTCTTGGCCAGCTCGAGCGCCATCGTACGGGATGTGACCGGTTTGTCGATCGGACATTAGATGACGCTTGTGATACACCATCTGCACACCATGTGCATGTGGTGTACACGAAATATCGTCGATACCAGATGGTCGACTTTATGGAAGTCTCAGTTCGGCGTTTGCGCGTGTCCCAGTTGCAAAGCGAGAACACCATGAAGTTTTGTGTACGGTCGTTTTGCTTTTGACCTGTATGAAAAAGGCCAAACTATCTAGTTGAGTGCTTTTGACTGCGCTAATACGCTTGTGTGAAAATTGTTCGGGGCCTTTTACCGTGACTACATCCTTCTCCTCCTTGCAGGCTCATTTCGTTGGTTCAAGACGTCAGGCTTTTTTTCGGGGGCACTTCGCATAGGGCACGTGCCACTTGCGTTCGATAGTTATCTTTGGAGCTCTAGACTAAGAATGATGATTTCGAGCCTGGAACGAGCACGGGGTAGAGGAGCTCCTACTGTCTCAAAAGGTGCTCTTAAAGGACGCGAGTACATGAATCACAATTTTTCACACCTTCCTCTCGCATACGAAAGCAACGAGTGCGTCAGTATTGTGTGCTCTCCAACGCCTTATCTTCGATCGAAAATAACGAAGTGACCTATCTCATTGGACAACATCCCCGTCGACGGTCGCGATGCTACATGCACTACCCCATCTTCACCCCAGCAGTCAAAATGAGTTACCCAATGCAGTGTTCGAACCCAGAGACACCACAGCTTCACTCTTCACTCCCACAGTTGCGCGTGTACGAAGGTCTATAGCCAGTTTTTGGTGCGCCAAGCAGACCACCACGACGATCTATCGCGATCCACGCGCTGAATTTGAGCTTAACATGTGGCTTGGAGTTGGTTTAAATGTGATCCGCGCGACACATCACTTTGAAGAAGCGCTACTTTCAACAGTTACATTAGCCCAGCTTGTGCTCGAGTTAATGCCAATTTACAGTGTCACTAAATGGTCGGTCGTCATTCTGGCGTTTTCGTGCGGGGTCGAACGTCAATTCGTTGTTAGCAAAAACAGATCAAAGTCCCGGTGCACGAGTCTAGTCGATTTCAATGTCGTTATGTGCTATGTATTGTTTTAAATGGACAAACTCGTTGAGCTCCTTCCATGCAAATACAGCGACCATTACCATCTGACTCGTCATCTGACTTGTTACCTGGCTCCAGTTTCGAACTTGACTCCGATGGGATGGACTATGAACTGGATGCAATGACAAGCGACTTCTCACCGGCTTTGTCTATACACTGCTGGATACTCGGGTGGAGGGGGGCGGGTAACGCATTTTGGAAATAATGGACGTGTGGATACTGGCAGCGTCCGCGGTTCTAGCCAGCACAACATTATATCTTACGAGTTCTTTTTCTTGATCGTCGAGCTGCCATCTCCACTCTCACTGCTACCTGAAATTTGATTTCCGAAGCTACAGCTCTTCGTACCAATTCCACGGCTTGTGGGTGCTGCTGCGAGCGGTTCGCTGAACGTTGTACCATGAGATGTATGTGTCTGCACGACATCGACCAGCTTTAGAGTACCTCGTTTCTAGACTTGTTGTGGCAATGCACTTTTGTCATCTCTCACCTCTCCGTGCGGCTCGTCCTCAATCGTAGGATCTTCACTGAAGACGCTCTCTCTGCACAGCTTTGGTCGGTGCTTGAAGCTCTTCCATGATAAAAGTAGACAATTTATCCATGGAGGTCTACTTCCGGGCTCCTGCATTCTTTGTGCGAGTTGGCGATCGTGGTAGGTGACATCATCTCATGTTGCTCTCATCGTTGCGAAGATCTGCTGTGCCTTCGTTTGATCTGCTACATCCCTTTTGTGTACTTTATCTTCTCTCCTCGTTCAGAAAAACGACGTCAACCGACGACTGGATACTGTGGTCACTTCTTTTTTCGAGTATCGGCTGGATCTATCGAGAAAGTAGTTTTCAGTTTCGTGACTCTAAAGGCGATTTTTGTACCTCTCAAGATGTCGTAATTTTTGACGGAGCTTCGGAAGTTTCGCCTGAGCGAGAACGATTACGGGAAATGATCTTTCCGCCAGCGAGATATACGAGAAATAGCAGGAGCGCACGGGTACGCTAGGGAGCAGTACATCAACTTGGCTCCCTCCGTGCCTTAGGTGGTACGTCACTTGAACCAGAAAAACAGCAGGAAATGCAGCAGCCTCTCTTTCGACGTCAACGGAAGACCAACATAAGGAACTTCACGGTGCCGAAAATGAGGATGTGTCATCAATAGTCCTCATCAGTATCAGCAATTAGTCCTCCTTGAGGTATCACACGAGCGTTGGTGAGTGTGGGCAATCAACTTCAGTACAACGTCACAAACGGGACGCAGAGCCTGCTACAGCGGTTTGCCTCGCAACACTTTACATTCGTCCCACGAAGAAGCTTTCGCATCAACAAGACGTGGCGAAAGTCTGATCGCAGCAATCCTCACATACAGCCAGTTCCAAAGGATAAGCACTGTGTCCTACGTGAGTAGAGCGATGCGCGTGTCTGCGTGAAATCCGAGAAACTGACACCAAAACAGAAAATCGATTGTTACGTTGGACTCGATAGTTGCGAGGAATCTGGATTCCAACTGCCATACTCAACTCAAGCTCTTTTACTGGCTCGGCTATGCATCTATGTGCTGCACACTGACCTCGAGATTCGTGATAGACACGCAGAACATGTCGAGACTTGTAACCATTTCGGCATCTGCGCTCAAGCAGAAGCTTCTTTCAAATGGTACAGCACCCAGCGCTTCTTCCTAGCGGCAAAAACGCGTCCTATGGCTCGGGAGATATCGATGCAGTTCCCAAGAACTTCACACCGAGTCCTCGTCGCCGTCTCACGCAATGGCACATCAACATGGCGCTGATCAACTTTGTCGAGTTTGCAGCTGAATCCTCGCGTGGCGTCGTGCTGGCCACGCTCTTCCTCTACACCAAGTCACTGGGCGGCAATTTGGCCTTCATGGGTCTCTTGACATCGCTCTTCTCTGTCGGAAGATTGATCTCGTCCACGATCTTTGGCTGGATGTGTGACCACTACTCGTTCCGCTCAGTCTACCTCGTGTCCTCGGGTATCTGTCTGCTGGGCAATTTCATCTACCTCATGGCAGACATCCACGTGACCAACAGCTTACCATTATTGGCTGCAAGTCGCTTCATCGTGGGCTTTGGGGCTGGCAACCGGAGTGTCTGTCGTGCCAACGTCGCAGCCATGACGACCATCAACCAGCGCTTGCGCTATCTCACCATCCTGGCGACAGTCGTGTTTCTCGGCTACGCTTTGACACCAGGACTCGGCAGCCTCGTGGCGGACGTTGATGTCTTCTTCTATGGCATGCACTTCAACAAGTTCACCTCACCCGGTGTCATCCTCGTCGTGTTCAACCTGGTCACGATCTTCGCCATGCTGACAGCGTACGACCCGAATATTGGCATCCACGACGGTCCGCCAGACTCTCCCAGTACTGCTGCTACCAAAAATACGTTGTCGGACTTGACGTCGATGCCTGGACGCATCGTGAACATCGGTGCGATGGTTTTCATCTTCCTCAACTTTTCTGCTCGGGGGATACTTTCAGTTTTTGAGACAGTGAACATCCCGCTGTTCCTGCAAGTAACTGGCAGCGATCCCGAAAGTGTCGCTGCTGTCGTTGACGCCTCGAATTTCCAGTTCTACCTGGGACTGCTCGGACTTGTCTCGTACTTCTCCATTGAGTACTTCCGCAAGAGAATCACCGACGTCAGCTGGGTGCAACTTGGCTTTACAGTCCTTCTTTTAGGAAACGTTCTGCTGGCACTAAAGCCTACGTCTCTCACCTTCAGCCGCCTAGCGTTTGCCGAGCTTCTGGTCTGGAGCATCGGCTGTCCGATCACGACTGCTGTTGTAGTGGCTGCCTTCTCCAAGATTCTGGGTGGTCGACCGCAGGGCACGCTCATGGGCTTGCTCGGCTCTGCAGGTTCTGTATCGCGCATCATTTTGCCGCTTTTGCCCGCAGCCATTCCATCGCTGACTCCGGTTTTCATGATCAATATCACGCTGTGTGCTCTCAGCGTGGGGCTGCTGTATTGGTACAATCGTGTGGTATATCGGACGAAGATGGCGATGCTGGCGGACGTTGAAAATGCGTTCGAAGTCGCGTCTCCCCCAAATGATCCGCGGTCACCATTAGGTACCGATAAGGTGGACTACGAAGACAGCTAAGTGAAGCCGTAATCGAATCGTGAGTACGTGTACGACGTTCAGCGCGATAATTCGATGCTGTTTCTGAAACACGATCGTCTTTGGTGCTGCCTATCAAGTCAGCAAGCACACACAAAGCTTCTGTGCCGTGCATGTGCAGTAGCTTCCCGACTCGTCGGTGCCTTCCATTATGTTCGGGCAAGTTTCATTTGACGAAACAGCACTCACCTGTCCCGCTGCAAGATGACAGGCGTAAATCAGAGATCGGCGCAAGGGCGTTGACCACTAGCACACGTAGCAAAAACAAACAATCGTCTGTACGGCGATGTAGTCTCAGCGCTAGAGGAATGCTGCTAGTCGTTGAACTTTGTGAATATCCTGTCATTCATCGTGAATAAAGGGAACAGAGTCCATGTAGTTGAGTGCCGTTGCAAGGCGTCCGTCAACTTCCAGTTCACCTCCGTTTGTACGCTCGGATCTCTGTATCGGATTGTCATTGTCAACCGAATAGATTCAGAACAGCACAGTATTCGGATATGCGCTGAGGCAACCGGGTTTCCCATCACGACTTGCCCGGAGCGCGGTGTTCACAGTGGTGACCAGTACTAACCTACGGACGTGCGTTGTACGCTAAAGCCTGGACGCTGAGTAGAAGTGCTGGCTACCCAACCTCTGCGGCAATTGTCGAAGCGGTCAAACCTGCGCTGGGCGCCCGTAAAAGTGCGTTAATAGGGATTTCCTAAGAGCCATGACTTCTCGTTCTCTCGGCCAACTGTGCTCAGCGGGCCCAGTGAAGAATGCATAACGGAACCATCGCGTCTAGATCAGCAGCCTCATAGCAATTTGCTGCAGTGCAGGAGTGCGAGCTCGTTTGTGCGTGACGTACGCGAGCCGCCGGCTTTCACCAACCTGACCGTAAATAATATGGTCAGCAGGTCGTTCATGTGGGGAGTGAGGGAGTCGAGGTGTTGACAGACGGCGACAAGCTGAACATGGTCGGGATGGGCAAGGCCGGAACAAAGTCAAACATGCGATCAAAGTCTCACTTCAGGACCCCATAGTCCCTTGCTAGTGTTCTTGTTTGCTGTTTCGAGCCCACGTGTTGCTGGATCAACTGTTCTACCCCGGCCCTCTCTAGCAAACTCATCGCAGTGCAATAACACCACGTTGTGGATCAAAAGTACAGATCCAGGCGGCGGCTAAATCATGCAGCAGCTGCAGTAGGACAAACGTGACTGAAGTCGCGCTTTCTTTACAGAGCTTGCGAGACAGCTTCTGAGCAAAGACAGGGCAGGCTGATGTCCTGATTCGCACGTTTGGTAATCAAGCACAAGCGACTGGACTGTCTCTGCACTGGACCAAAAATCATGACACGGCTGGACCTGTTGACGCGTCCTTTTTGCGTCTCCGGATATCCTCTCCCCTTCCCCCTGCAAAAACGTGGCGCAGCGTATCTTGCTCTCACTATGTCCAAGAGCTCTCCCCGATCCCCTTTGCCAACAGCTCATTTCGCATTGTGTTAACTCAAGCGCAAGTCAAGTCCCGCGACATCGACGATGCCCGCCCTGTCTGCCAGCGCTGGGGCCACGTACGGCACGGCCGAGCCGAAAAGGTCCCAGCCCAGTCCACCTCGTCGCCTCGCGCAGTGGTACACGAACATTGCGATGATCAACTTTGTCGAGTTCGCGGCTGAATCCTCGCGTGGCGTGGTATTGGCTACGCTCTTCCTCTACACCAAGTCACTGGGCGGCGATTTGGCTTTCATGGGCATGCTCACGTCGCTCTTCTCCGTCGGAAGATTGATCTCATCCACGGTCTTTGGCTGGATGTGTGACCACTACTCGTTCCGCTCAGTCTACCTCGCGTCATCCGGTATTTGCCTCGTGGGGAACCTCATCTACGTTTACGCTGATCAGCACGGGGCCGGCAGCTTGACTGCACTTGCTGTTAGTCGGTTCATTGTGGGTTTTGGAGCTGGCAACCGAAGCGTCTGTCGCGCTGACGTGGCATCGATCACGACCATCAACCAGCGACTCACGTACCTGACAATGCTGGCAACAGTCGTGTTCTTTGGCTACGCGTTGACTCCTGGGCTTGGCAGTCTAGTGGCCACGACGGACACGTACATGTTGGGCATTCACTTGAATAAGTTTACGTCGCCGGGCATGATTCTCGTGGTATTTAACCTGTTGACAATAACGGGTATGTTGACTGTGTACGATGAATCCGTTCAAGTGCACGATGGTCCTGAGGAGTCGGTCAGCACGAACAACACGCTGAGCGACCCCACGATTATGCCCGAGCGTATTGTGAACATTGGAGCTGCCGTGTTCATCTTCTTGAATTTCAACGCCCGCGGCATTCTATCCGTGTTCGAGACTGTGAACATTCCGCTGTTCATCTTGGCGACGGGCAAGGACCCCGACAGTGTCAGTGCCGTGGTGGACGCGTCCAACTTCCAGTTCTACCTCGGCCTTCTGGGTTTGCTCACGTACTTTTCGATCGAGTACTTTCGCCACAGTCTCCGAGATGTGAGCTGGGTTCAGCTTGGCTTTGCGATGCTTCTGGGAGGCAATGTCCTACTCGTTGTGGGTCCCACGCTGCTTTCGTTCCCCCGACTGGCGATTGCTGAGCTGCTTGTGTGGAGTGTGGGATGTCCGATTACGACTGCTGTGGTGCTTGCCGCCTTCTCAAAGCTGCTCGGTGGTCGTCCTCAGGGCACGCTAATGGGCTTGCTCGGCTCGGCTGCTTCTGTCTCACGCATTGTGCTGCCACTGTTGCCTGCTGCTCTCCCGTCACTGACTCCCGTGTTCTGGATAAACATCGTTCTCTGCGCGCTGAGCATGTTCATGCTGTGGTGGTACAGTCGACTAGTGCACAAGACCAAGATGGATATGCTGGCTGACGTTGAGAACGCTTTCCGGATTGCGTCTCCTCCGAACGACCCGCGGTCCCCGCTTGGTTCGGACAAGGTGGACTTCCCGGACAAGTAAGAGGCTTTGAAGGCAGGGAGTACATCGCACGCACGTGGTGCTGATAGTATTTTTCCATTCCTTTGACCGTCTGACAGCTCACTATTGGACCAGCTTTGACTAGAGCTCACATATTCCTGCATCCCACCTTACGTTGTGTAAACAAACAAAAAAGGCGACGAATCGTCCAGCTCCAGCTGCTTCATTTGGTGAAAACACTAAAGCGGGTATAGGTGGCCTCAACCATTGTCCAGGTCATGGTAGTGCAATTTTTACTTCCAGCGTGCCTTGGTTGTACCACAACAGGAGCTATAAAACATGACGCAGAGCCTACATCCACCTCATCGCATGCCGCAATGACCAAGGGGGTTGTGTTTGCACAAATTTGACCTGCTTGCGATCACCGCCCACTGGGTTCTCGGGTTAAACTCGAGCTCAAAATGCCCACAGGACACGTACATTTTGCGGCTTCAGGCACATATCGCAAAGATGTTGGACCGCGTCGTTTCGTTATGACAAACGTCTGTATTCAAAGATTTAAATGCACGTGACGTTCGCTTGTCGGTGGTTGACACACTTTGCATCCAGTTGTTCCGGCAGGCGACGGGTAAATGCGGGACCCGGGAAGTCGGATACCATAGCAGACGGACCTTTCTCCGAATGATCTGCAAGGGATGTGGGTGAATGGTCGTACTCGTACCTTATTCCATTAGATGCAACCATTGTCTGTCTTATGTGAAGTAGCATGCTGCAGGGTTAGAGGTAAAGGCAAATGCTAGACGGCTGGATTCATTTTTTTCGGTCGTTCAGAAAAGTTCTCGGAAGTAACCTAGAAGTAACTTGGAAGTACGCTTAACGTCGTCAAGAGTAGATCCGATACTTAGTTCATTGTCACCGATCACTCACTTGCTGTTGAAAGCTCATAATGACGACATCGGTGCAAAACAGGCTAATACCCCACTACTTTAGTCCTTCCTTCTTCTATTAGCGTCCCCATATTGAGAAAGATGTCGCTTTTTGACGCCATCGTAGCTACACAGTCAATAGACTCACCAAACAGGACGCATTTGCGCGGACGTGAACGCTTGTGGTAGGGCGGTACATCTCGCCTGGAATAGTGGCGCACTCTAACCTTTTTTTCCAACAACGATTGCTACCAGCGAAACATCTTTCACAATTTGAGTTCCCGCAGTTTGTTTCTACAAGCAGCATATTCGTATAGTAAAATTGAAAGTGGAGGTTAGTGATCGAAGTTGGGTGAAAAATATGCAAACGTGGGTGTTTGCGATCTCACGGAGAGCCCCCGCCAGTGTAAGGAGTGGGCGCACTGACTAGAACACCAACACTTCCCCAAAGAGGAGGTAATCTGTCGATAGCCGTATCGCTAGCCAAAGAACAGTTGTCAACAGCGCTGTGGTGACAGGATTCTGTCATTTTTGTCGCACCTGAATTACCTGTCTTGCCTCTTCACCGCTTCACCGCTTCTGACCTTCCAAGTTGATTTCTGAAGCTGACTGAAGCTGACAACCCTGCAAGCTCGAAGTCGCAAGCTGCTACTGTTAGATATTGGTAGCTCTTGCACTTGTGCAAAGGATGTAGGAAGTAAAAGTGAAATATATTGGGTGCTAACTATTCTCCCTAGTCAACCCTATTTGTATGTATTTGCACCAGCACTGCAACTTGACCTGGTCAAGTTGTACTTTGGCATACGTCCAGCGTGCCCATCCCATGTGCTGGTCCTGGTCCCATATGACGTCTGTATGTCTCTGTCTTTCCTACCATCTGTCTTTGATAGTCCGACATGACGATCGTCTTCTCGCGTCCCATATGTCAACCTGTCTCGTCCCACCGTCAACTTGTCGACCAATCAGGTGAGGTCGACCTAAACCTGTAACAGGTCTTGCAGTTGCCTCTACACCGACGTAACCTGTTAAAAGCTATATCTTCTAACACTCCTCCTCGACTTCAGCCTGAATCGTCCTCAAGTTAAACATCTTGCGTAGCTCCTCCATTCTCGGCGCTGGCAAGGACTTCGTCAGAATGTCCGCCATCATGCTCTCAGTCTTGACGTACTTGGGCACCACAATTCCTTCACGCGCGTAGTGGCAGATGAATTTAAACCTGATGTCCACGTGCTTCGCGCTCGTTGTGCTCTTCTCTCCCTCGAGTTGCTTGATCGCCGCTTGATTATCCATCCACATAGGCATCGGAATGCATACCTGCAGCTTTAGCTCCAGCAGTAGTTCCCTCACACCCAGCAGTTCGCGTCCTGCCTGGGATGAGGATATGAACTCCGCCTCCATAGTGCTCAGCGACACACCTGACTGCTTCTTGCACGACCATAAAACAACAGAACCGTCCAAAGTTAGTACGTATCCAGACACTGACTTACGGTCCGCCTTGTCCGCGGCGAAGTCTGCATCGCTTCAGCACTCAATCTTGACATTTTGTTGAGTCGGTCCGTTGCCGTTCAGGTGCAACCTCAAGTTCTTTGTCGCCTTCAAGTATCTTGCAATGCGTTTCGCAATCTTCCAGTCCTTGGTGGTTGGCTTGTGTGTTTGACGAGTTGCCTTATGCACTGCAAAACATATGTCGGGCCGCGTGCATCTTGCGATCCATAGCAGACTCCCGACCAATGATTGAAAGGCACTCAAACTTGGCTCACCGCTTGCACCTTTCGCGGGTAGATAGTCCACATCATCCTTGTTATCATCATTGCAATCATCTCCGATTGGCGTTCGCACACCGTTCGCTGACTCCAACCAGAAATCCCTAAGCAACACGTCGATCATGACCTCTTGGTCCAGAATATATCCTTGAGTTTCATCCAAAGAGATCCTGAGTCCCAGAAACTTCTGAACGACGCCGAGATCCTTGATCGATAGTGTCTCCATGCCCGCGAAGAACTCATCAACCGCGCACTGCTTGGTTCCCGTGACCAGAAGTTCGTCCACGTATACTCCGACGATGGTCCATTCTTGACCTTGGTGCTTGTAGTATAGACACATGTCTGTCGTGCACTGCTTGTAGCCATTCTCGGTCAGCTTGGAGTGTAAGAGCTTGCTCCAGAGTCGTCCCGCTTGCTTTAGTCCGTACAACGATTTCTTCAACAGCAGCGCGACCTCACCAGGAGATTCCACACCGAAACCTTGAAGTTCCTCCTTAGTGATTTGTATGCCTTTTGGAACCTTCATGAAGATATCCAGATGCTCCTCCTTTTCTGCCTTAACGTAGGCGTTCGGAACATCCCCATGACGTGCGGGAACGTTCCATCGCTTGGAGAGCACCAGGATTAGCTTGACAGTCACTAAGTCCATGACGGCCGCAAACGTGAGGTTTTAGTCGATGCCGAAAACTTGTTCGTTTCCGCAAACCACTAGTCGAGCCTTGTATCGCTCGATATCTCCGTTCGCGTCGGTCTTTGTTTTGTAGACCCACTTGTTGTGCAACACGTGTGCATTTCTTGGTGGCACTACGATCTTCCAGACGTCGTTCGCCTCGAGTGCGTCCAAATCTTGGGTCATGGCTACCTGCCATTGGTCGCGTTGTCCACTCTTCATTGCCTCACCATAGTGCTTCGGGTCTTGCTCGACGATCGCGTTCACGATGTCGCAACCGTCCACCGAGGTGTCCACTTCAACCACCTTTGGTTGACTTGACGTTGTCAATCTTGTCCCATGTCGCTCTCTGGTCCATGTCGACTTTCGACCTTTTCTGACCTGCTTCGCACGTTTCACAACATCTTGCCGATCTTTTTCATCCGCCTGATGATCAGGGCCTGGCTCCTGCTGACGTCGTGCCGTGTCTGGACAGGTCTTTCTCTCATCCTGGTCATCCTGTGGTGCTTCAATGTTTTGAACATGTTGAGTCACCACGACCACCTTATCCACTGGGATGTACACCTTGTATCCCTTCGTTTCGCTACCTCGCCCAATGACGATGCCCGCCTTGCCTCGTTCACCGAGTGACTTGTTCTTCGGGTCTCTGTGCGCAGTGCATGTTGAACCAAAGGCCACAATGTCTGTCAGCACGGGAGCCTTGCCTGTCAGGATCTCCAAGGGCGATGCACATCCGGGGTTGGACTTTGTTTTGCTTCGATTCAGTATGTACGAGGCGTACTCTGCAGCATCACCCCAAAATGAGAGCGGCAGGTTTGATGCAAAGATCATACTCCGCACCATGTTCATGACGGTGCGGTGCATCCGTTCAGCCTTGCCGTTGCTTGCTTGGTTTTTTTTGCCTCGCTTACTTGACGCAAGACGCCTTCCGAAGAGCAGAAAATATCGAGTGTCTTGTATTCGCCACCTCCATCGGTGCGTAAGACATGAACCTTGCAATTGAACTCGCGCTCGAAGTTTGCCATGAAGAGCTTGAACTTTGACGCGGCTGCATCCTTCGACTTGGCCAAAAATATTCGACATTAACTCGAACGGTGGTCGATGAAGTTGACCATGTACCGATTTCCCAAACGATCTCGGGGGGTCATGGGACCCTTAAGGCCCGAACAAATGACTCCCCCGATCGCGTCGATTGGCGAATTCGCGCCTGTATCTCTCTTCGACTGGGCTCCCTTGGTCTGTTTTCCCTGGGCACAGGCCAGACACTTTTGACGTGTCGAATCAGTCATTCGGATGCATGATGCCGGATCGTTCGCCATCTTGACGATCGTGTCGAAACATAGGTGTCCTAAACGTCGATGAAAGTCCATCAAGGTACCGCATAGAACATCCGAATCGGATTCATATTCAGGTGGGTTGACGACAGTCATCAGTGCCTCTTGTGGTGGCTTGAAATTACGAATACTGTGATTTGTCACCGCGACAACTAACACGTTGTTGCAGCATTTCACATCCATGATGGGTGTACCGCCCGTACCGGAAGACAACACGCGCCTCCCTCCTCGATATTCAAGTACGCAACCTTTTGCCTCGAGCAATCCGTAGGAAAGGATGTTACGCTCGAGGTTCTCCGCATACTGAACATTGAGGAGCCTCACTGTGTTCACAACTCCAAGTGCAACGACTTGGATGTCTACAGTTCCTTGAAGGGTGATCCGCAGCGCACTTCCATCAGTGGCTGCAGTCATGCACTCGCTGCGACAATCAATCGGATCAGTCAGCAGACTCGGGTCATTGACCAAATGTCTACTCGAACCGCTGTCGAGAATCCATTGTCCAGGCGAGCGACCCGCACCGCGACCAACCGCGAAAACGAAATTCGCACCCGAGGGCTTTTTCTTCATTTTGGGGCACCTCGAACGAATGTGACCCACTTCTCCACATTTGAAACAAGTCCGGGTGTCGGTAAGTGGTAGCGACGGTCTTGATTTGTGTTTGTCCTTGAACTCCTGCGCAACCTCGACAGTGTTCACCACATCGCGTCTAAAACTCTTCGAGTGAGTGTCCACCTCCGTCGATTGGGCAAATTGCGCCAGCTCTTCTGCTTGCCGCAGGTAATCGGTGCGATGAATGTCCAATCTGGACAACATCGTCGTTCGCATGTGTGGGTCAGCATAATGGACGATGTTGTCCAGCACAAGGTTGTCTGCACCTCCACAGGCGTCACTGACGGTCGTCAAGTACAGAAAATGGTCTGTCCAGTTTCGATGGGATGCCTTGGGTGCTGTGAACAACTTCATGCTTTGTGCTGGCGAGATCTTCGTCGTGAAGGTCTGCAGTAGTCTCTGCATCGCATGTTCCAGGGTTTGGTTTTCAAACCACCACGTTTCCACTTGACGACGATAGTAGGTCTGTGCCTTGCCGGCTAGGTGCTGACCTAGAACATCAACTTTGATGTCCTCTAGCCACACGAAACCACACGCTCGCTCAGCAAACCCGACTTTTCTGACAAATTCTTTGCCCCACTCCATGAATCCACAGCCAAGGCCGTGGTAGAGCTCCTTTCCGTCGAAAGGTTGCAATGCCAGCTTCCGCTGTTGCGCGTCCGGCATACCGACTCCCGGCTGCCCAGGGTAAACACACACCCCGTTAGGCATACCCATACCGGGGTAGCGTCCTTCAGGCAAACCTGCCCGGTATATCCCAGGGACGGGTGCCTGACCCATGTTGACTCCATCCTCTGGTTTTCTCGCGTGAGGACCTTCAACACCTGCCTGTTGTTGTCGCCGAATACCGAAATAGGTTGCTGGTGACACGTTTAAGGATTCCTTGGGAGGGGTACGGTCCAAAGTCTGGAGATTAATCCCTGCCCCGACCTCCTGTTGCCGACTGGCGATACTCGACTCGGGTGAGCCCTGCCAGTTCTTGCCGCCTTGCTCTCTCTGAAAGACCTCCATCCGGTTCATCCTTTCGGACAGGTCTCCTATCATGGCTAGCATCTTCTCGATCGCCTCCGAAGGCGCTGCCGACTTTTCTTCCAGGTGATGGTCGTCGACTACCACGGTATGTGCAGCTGGTTCAGCCGCACCGCCAACACGTTTGATTGGGCTCATAACCTGTTAGATGTTGGTAGCTCTTGCACTTGTGCAAAGGATATAGGAAGTAAAAGTGAAATATATTGGGTGCTAACTATTCTCCCTAGTCAACCCTATTTGTATGTATTTGCACCAGCACTGCAACTTGACCTGGTCAAGTTGTACTTTGGCATACGTCCAGCGTGCCCATCCCATGTGCTGGTCCCATATGACGTCTGTATGTCTCTGTCTCTCCTACCATCTGTCTTTGATAGTCCGACATGACGATCGTCTTCTCGCGTCCCATATGTCAACCTGTCTCGTCCCACCGTCAACTTGTCGACCAATCAGGTGAGGTCGACCTAAACCTGTAACAGGTCTTGCAGTTGCCTCTACACCGACGTAACCTGTTAAAAGCTATATCTTCTAACAGCTACTTCACCTGCCCTGGCATGTCTCTTAAACCATATTAGTAACTAATGACTAGCGAATATCTATGGATCCAAAATGCAATTGCTAACAAATCGTCAATCGTAGCTGAAACGCGAGAGTTACCCCGAGAAATCCCTTTTTGGCGAGGGGGTCACCAAAGTCACTTTTTGAAAAAACTGGCATTTTGACGATATTCACAAAATCCGTTTTAAATGATGACTTTTTCACCCTCTATTTGAAGAATGACTCAGTCGTTTGGCATTTGCCCAGATAAATGGGTACCGCTCGTTGTGTCTGTGGCCTTGACAGTTCATATATCGACAGTAACGGAGATTTTTGGCTTGAGTGTTGCATCCCTCACTCTTACAATTATCTTGGTTTGTTATCAGAACTGTAGAGCAGCCGACGGGAGACACGCTGCTGGTGTAACGGGGCACCCTGAAGCTTGTACTGATGACAGTACAAGCTACTTATTCTGATGACAGAATAAGGCGGTGCCTCGTAACTTCACGTACACTGGTACGTGCAGAGGAAGACGGTAAGAAGAAGCGAGTACTTGGTTAAAGTAAAAAGTAGAACTGTATTTAGTATAGTTAATGTCTGCAATAAATCACTATTTATCTTCATCTAACTATGTCTAAATACAAATGTGTAAATCAGGTATCTGCTCACCACTCATTGCGTGCGTCTGTCGTGGCGCGTCTTCGTTGGTTGATATAATGGCCTATATCAACCAATTAGGAACTACTTGTAAGTGCTACAGAATATTTGTCCTTATGACAATATTCTGAGAATATAACTCTTATAGTTATATTCTATTAACAATTTCTTATAAATTGTTATGTAACGATTCACCCCGTTACATCACCCCCCCTTAACCATCAGTCACTTTAGTGACTGATTGACGAAATGGATACTCGTCCCAAATCATTTGGGACAGGGTTTGCACTTGTTGGTCCGCGTCCACTTTCCAACATCTCATCGCATGGTAAACAAGCCCATGCGATGCGCGAACAAGGCCGCCGAGAGCGCGTCTGCACGTCTCTGTGCGGACGCCGAAGCAGAAACAACAGCAACTGATGTCTCATCGGTTGCTGAAGCGACCCAGCCTGTGTCACTTGGTGATGCAGGCGCTGGTCATGAAGACACTCGTGTCTTCACAGAGTACGAGCTCGGTGTCTCGTACTCTCCTGATACGGATGAAGGATCCGTATCGACGGCAATTGAATCCAAGCCGCCTGCCAAGCGTGGCATGGACGATGCTTTGCGTCGCAGCATCTTTGGTTCATCTGATGAATCAGATGAACCACCGCCGAAGCGAAGGCGCTCGAGGTCGCGAGACTCGGGCGCTAATAGTGGTGTCGGTTCTCCTATGGACACCACTTCACAGCGAGGTGCCAGTACTTCTGTCGGCACGTCACAGGAAGAGCGGGACTGCAATGTGTTGCGTCTCGCTCCTGAGAAGAAGGCATGGATGCCTCCTAAATCAGTCATGGATCACTTGTCGGCGACGACGAGTGATCGTTATCGAACACGATTGTTCGATTCGTCAAGGATCCATCACCTTGACCCCAGCGCGAAAAACTATCGCGCTGAACATGAATTCTTCATCTATGCTTTCTTTAGATATCGATGGTACAGTGGGAATCACAAACGTGATGGTCCCTCACTACTTCAGGCGTGGAACGCCTACATCCATAACCTCGAGGATGTAGGTCGTGACGCTTGGAACGACAAACTTATCAAAGCTCGTGATAAGTTTGAAAAGCGAACCCCGACAGGTGCACGCTACAAGCTGCATCGTCTGTCAAGAGAGAAAGGATTACCCTGCCTCTCTTGGGGAGACTCGTGCCCATGTTGTGTGAACAACTGTGCACGAGCGCCTAAGGAGGCTTACCTCCCTAATAGCCCGTGGTGGCGCGTACGTATCTCTAGTGAGATGTACGAAGGGATTGACAACCTGAAATCCCTTTACGACCGTGCCGGGAAGACTTTCTCCGGCAGTCCTTCTGCGGCACAGGATGTGCCGCGTCGTACTGCTCAACCAGACCCAGTACGTCGATCATCAGTTGGGAGCGGGGCTCCCAAGAATCCCAGGACGGGGGATAGCCGCGCCACCGGACGAGATAACTCGTCCGACGTCCGTTCACGTCGCGGTGGTTCAACAGCTGCTCAATCAGATAGCGCTGGCCACCGCGAGAGTCCTCTAATGGAGGTGGAGGAGGAGGGAAGACGCTCTCCACACGATCATGTGGATTGGTGTGTTCCCGAGAGCTTTTTTGATCGCGTAACGCAAGGGTTACGCGACGATCTCGAGCATGAGCGGAATAGGCGTCTCCAAATGGCGGACACTGCCTCGAAGCATCGAGATGAGTTTGCCTTTGCTCAGCTTGAGGACGAGAGATCTCTAACATCTCTTCGTGACGAGCTAAGGGTAGCTCGTGGGATTGCTGATCGGTCTCGGGATGAGATAGCTGCTCTTCAGACCCTTGTTGATGCCCACCATTGGGAGCACAAGGCTCTCTGCGAGATGCTAGAGCGCAAGGGCGTTCTTCATCGGAAGAAGCAGCGTACTGATGGTACGGCTTAAGCCGACCAATGTAAAACGTGGGATGCGTTCGCATCTTACGTGGTAACTCGATCGTGTATGCATTGCCTAGGCGGTGCAATACACGAAATGGGCCAATGTACTTGGGTAGTAGTTTACTGCTACCCAAGTTAGTCACTACATGCTTTGGTAGATTAACCGTAGACAGTAGGACTAAGTCACCTTTATTAAATAAAAGAGTGTTTGCCCTTCCATTCTTGTCAGCGTTTTGCTTTTGCTTATCCACCGCTTCGGCGATGGAGTTTTGCACAAAACGGACTACCGTTTCACGAGCCAGTATGAACTCATATGATGACTCGTTAGCTTCAGTGTGATGTAAGCGCACTGCAGCAACATCAACCTTTTCTTCAGTGAGGGCTTCCGCACTCTCACTGGGATCATCTTCTTCAGTGAGGGCTTCCCGCACTCTCACTGGCATCATCTTCTTCGATATCGATGTTATCGATATCGTCATCAAACGCAATGACTTCTTCGTCAGAGCGTGATGAGCGTGAACCAAATCGGTTTTTGCTCGCGCGAGTCCCTCCCCCCCTTAAACCAGAGTTACACTCTAGTAAGGTGGGTACACGCGGATGGCGCAAGCCATTCACGTAAAACGGTGTGTGTGTCGTGGACGCATGCACCGAGTTGTTGATGGCAAACTCTACCATTGGCAAAAACTCACTCCAACTCTTAAAGGAGTGTACGTATCCTCGAAGTATCTCTTCAAGGACACGATTGGCACGTTCCGTCTGACCATCTGACTCTGGATGATCAGATGTTGACATCTTCAAGCGCGTTCCGAGTGATTTGAACACGGAACGCCAGAAATCAGCAGTGAATCGTGGATCTCTGTCTGATACGAGTTCACGGGGCAACCCATGAAGTCGGAAGATGGTGTCAATAAAGACACAAGCACAGCCACTTGCCGTGATTGTCTCTGGTACAGCCACAATGTGTATCATTTTGCTGAATCTGTCAACAAATACGAGAATACCCGTATTCCTGCGTGCGTCTTTGGGTAACTCGAAGACGAAATCCATTGAGATGGATTCCCAGCACTCAGCCGGAACCGGTAGAGGCTGTAAAGGTGCACGCAGTGAAGGACTTGACTTCACTCGTTGGCAGACTTCACATGCGCGAACATACTTTCGCACAAACTGATACTGGCGGGGCCAGTAAAAGTCTCGACTTACCGTGAGATATGTTTTCTCTCGGCCACGATGTCCTCCTATAGGAGCATCGTGATACTCGAACATGATCCGCAAACGCAGATCAGTATCATCTGGAATGACAACACGTGGTGTGTCACCAGAAACGGCTGTATAATACAGTAAACCGTTACGAGTAGTGTATCGATCTGATGCAGATCGATACGCAGACGACAATCGTTTCAACGATTCTCGAGATGGTTGGGAGAGATGTGTCAACAACTTCACAATCTCACCATCTTGGGCGTATGCCCGCCTCACATCATCATACAACGTTGTAGATGGGACTGCCGACGTCATAACCGCAACAGTGACTGTCTCACTGTTGGGTTTCGCGACTGTCTCACTGTTGGGTTTCGCGACTGTTTCAAAGTCGGGACGACGTGAGAGTGCATCAGCGACGACATTAAGTCGTCCTGGTTTGTACTCGACCGTAAAGTTGTATTCTGCAAAGAATGACAACCACCGCGCCATTCGTTGTGAAAGGTGCGGGCTGTTCACTGCCGTGCGTAATGACGCATGGTCAGTGTAAACAATGAAGGGTCTATCTCCTAATAGATAGACTCTGAACTTCGCGAGTGCATACTTCATGGCAAGGAGTTCCTTGTCATGCACTGGATAGTTCCGCTCAGCTGGTTGCAGCTGACGCGACTGATAGCAGACGACGCGTTCAACGCCTTCAAGATCGTACTGCATTAATGCACAGCCGATTGCGAAATCGCTGGCATCACAGACCACATGAAATGGCCTGTCCTGATCGGCTATTGCTAGGACTGGGGATTGTATCAAGCTCTGCTTGATACCCTCAAAGGAGCGCTGACATTCAGCGTTCCATAACCACCTCTCGTTCTTTTTCAACAATCGAGAGAGGTGCACAGTCATCTCGGCGTAATTGCGTGAATACTTATGCAAATACGCCGCTAGCCCAAGGAATTTTCGAAGACCCTTGACATCAACCGGCACAGGCCAGTCGGTGATCGCCTTGATCTTTTCGGGATCAGGACGTACACCGTTCTTACCAACGATGCACCCAAGAAGTGGTATTTCGCTTGCTGCAAATATACACTTCTTGAGGTTTGCATACAATTGATGCTTTCGCATGATTGTAAGAACTTGTCGGACGTGGTACCTGTGAACCTCAACGTCCGACTTTCCATCCATAGCTCGACTATGGATGAATACGTCATCGAAATAACTCGGCGCGAATTCTCGTACTGGTCTCAACAGATGTGATACACATCTGTTGAACGTGGCAGGGGCATTACTAAGCCCTTGTGGCATTACTAGCCATTCCCAGAGCATGCCGCTAGGCGTGCTAACTGCGGTATAGGGTATATCCCGTTCCCGCATAAGGATTTGATAGAAGCCATCCATCAAATCCATGGACGAAAAGATGGTACTCTTTGACATACCATCAATGATTACGTCCTTCCTCGGTATCGGCGTCTGAGCCGGTACCGTTGCAGCGTTCAATTTGTTGAACACGTGCACTATCCGCCACCCTCCTGTTGCTTTTCGCACACAGAAGGTCGGAGAGCTATGTGGGGAAGTTGATTCCCTCACATGGCCCGCAGCTAAACGATCGGCAAAGAACTTGTCGATCGCAAGTACTTGTTCACGAGGCAGTGGCCACTGCTTCATGACACAGTACTTCGAGCCTGGTTTAAGCTCGACCTCGTGTCGAATACCTTTATCCTTCGGTAATTCGCACGGAACAGTTTCAGGGAATACATCCTTGAATTCAACCAAATCTTCATAGAGAGGATTTGTCTTGAGCGATTCCCACGATTGGGAGTCGTATCGCTCAATTCGTGTCTTTTCATCTAGGACACTCTCGTCCATAGATGAACTACTGAGAACTCTCTCGTTCTCAGTGAACACTGTTGCTGACCTTATGTCGGTTACACACTCGTCGTCAGCGACGAGTACGCAGATCTGCTTGACTTTGCCACTACGCAGATCACGCAAGAACCTTTTATGTTCGAGCGTTGGCAACTGAGTGATCTCCGAAGTCAACTTCGGAGGCGCAATCAGATCAAGTGTATAAGCGCCTACACTTGATCCGTTATTGACTATGACATTCAATGTCTCTGTCATTTCCTGGGGACTTATTCCCTCAGGCTTCGAAGGACTTATTCCTTCGGCTTCCCGGGGACTTATTCCCGCGGGTTTCGGGGAACTTATTTCCGCCGTATTTGTAATCTTGGGACTTATTCCCTTTACTTCCTCTAGCTGGGGTTGCGCAACCACAGCGAGATCCTCTACGAAAGACTCTCCAGTCGATCTAGGATTATCGTTTCGCTTAACCTGAGCGATCGATTGTTTCTCTTCTAGATGTTCCCCGCTAGGGATACATCTTTGTCCCAGTCCACCCGACTTATTCGAGTGGTGGACCTTCGGCGCAGCCTGTGTTTCCTCACAGCCGCCGGAAGCTTGCTCCGAAGTGTAACCGTTTGGTACACTAAGGTTTTGTGCAGTCGTACTAACGACCGTACCACAAGTGAGGCCATCGCACTCACTCGTAGTACATCCACACGCTTGTGAACGCTCCAAAACGTTCATCAGATGGCCATCTGATGAACAAGCGGCAGGCATCGTTACTGTTCGATGTTGCCAGTTTACCCGTGGTTCGTACCTTCTGGGCCACGGAATTCCAAGGATGACATCAAATTTGTCATCCAAATCCAATACGATAAAGTCATCTTCATATTGGGTATCTTCTAGCGTATAGTGGATCTTCACTATGCGCTTCATGACGGTTACGGATGCTCCTGTCGCAAGACGTACCGTCATCCTCGTAGGAGGTGTGTCACATTCACTGAACTTAAAGTGACCATCTTCTAGCGATTGGCGTCGCACAAAATTGTTGGACGCCCCACAATCGACTAGAGCTCGAAGGGACAACTTATTCGTCACTTCGAGTTTCAAGGTAATGAGTGAGACCTCATTACCTAGAGCAGCAACGCACAACGTCTGTGTGTTGGGAGCAAACTTCATCAAGAGGCCTACAAATTCTCTTGACGTTGCTGGATCAGTAGGGTGCTCCGCACCTACTGATCCTGTCCGTTTTTTGACGGTCCATCCCGTTGTTGCGTCTTTGCACCAACTGCGGACCCTCGTCCCTGCCCCTTTCTCATGGGTGGACGGTCACTACGCCCAGTGTCGCGAGACACTGGACGAGGGGCACTACACTCGTAAGCGTAGTGTCCTGTCTTTTGACATCTGTTGCATCTCTGCAACTTCTTGTAGCCTGTAGAGCGAGCCTTCTCGCTCTCTACATAACAGAGTTCCATCGGCTCTGGACCTCCGTTGTCATATCGTCTCGGTTGACGATATGATGTCGAGCTGGCGCGAGCCTGTCTCAGACTGAAGTCTTCCTGCTCCGCAATGGAAATGGCTTGTTCTAGTGAATCTAGTTTAAGCCGGAACAGGTGAGTCTTGACGGGACCATCCGCAAGACCCTGCATGAACACCGAAACCAACGTGTGTTCATCCACCGGATTGGAACTTATACAACTCGTAAGATGTCGTATATGTTGAGCGTAAGCGTGCACATCACGCTTACCCTGTTTGATCTTCAAGAGTTCAGTTCGAGCTCTGAACTCAGCTCTAGGCGGTTCAAACGTTTGTCTGAGCCGCGACTTGAAGACTCCTAACGACCCAAACGGATATGGGTCGTGCAACTTGACCCCCAGTGCCCAAGTCTTGGCACGTCCTGCCAGATTTGATTGGGCAAATGCAACTTGCATATCCCCGTCGTCGATGCGACGCGCCCTTATGGCGTCATCCAATTCGACGAACCATCTCAAGAGAGAGTCCTCTTCGACTCCCCTATACTTGGAGTTGTCAATCTTCAAGGTCTCGGGTCGACGCGAGTGCATCGGCCGACCAGCAGCAGCCTGCTGCTGTCTCAACAGTTCAAACTGTTGAGCACCCTGTTCTCTCAACAACTCTGCTTGTTGAGAACCTTGTTGGTGAAGCAAGGCTACTTTCTCGCGTTCAGCGTCAAGTTCATTTTGAATGAACTTGGCGATAGTAGCATGTTGGGCATCTCTATTGAGAGCCTCTAGCATGACGCTAACAGCATGGATGCCCATGGTCGAACCCATCCGTTCAACCGCATCCCATTCGACATCGCTCAAATGGGAGTAGCCGTCACGCGTAGCGTGAAAGCTTTGGTCATCTTCATCATCCAACATATTCATGTTGGATGTGAACGCGGTCCTTGGACGGACTACGAAGTGCTACCAGGTGTAACGGGGCACCCTGAAGCTTGTACTGATGACAGTACAAGCTACTTATTCTGATGACAGAATAAGGCGGTGCCTCGTAACTTCACGTACACTGGTACGTGCAGAGGAAGACGGTAAGAAGAAGCGAGTACTTGGTTAAAGTAAAAAGCAGAACTGTATTTAGTATAGTCAATGTCTGCAATAAATCACTATTTATCTTCATCTAACTATGTCTAAATACAAATGTGTAAATCAGGTATCTGCTCACCACTCATTGCGTGCGTCTGTCGTGGCGCGTCTTCGTTGGTTGATATAATGGCCTATATCAACCAATTAGGAACTACTTGTAAGTGCTACAGAATATTTGTCCTTATGACAATATTCTGAGAATATAACTCTTATAGTTATATTCTATTAACAATTTCTTATAAATTGTTATGTAACGATTCACCCCGTTACAGCTGGGGTCTGCTAGGCTCCGCTGCCTCCGTCTCGTGGGTTACTCCCTTGCCCGACTCCTGCAGCAACGCTCTATCCAGTATTTTTTCGCTTCCATTCTGTTGAATGCCCTCAGTAATTTGCTCTTGTGACGCCAAGTGGCGCTTCTCTGGTCTCATCTAGTAACGACCTCAGTCGCCTTCAGAGCCAGACGAGACGGTTGTTTTTATCGATTAAAGCTTTCGCTGTTGACGTAGGTACCAGCTTCGTACTCGCGGGCTGGGATTGTATCAGACTATTGCGACTTGGTCTCGCCAAATCGCTGGTGCCCTGTGGCGGATGAATGCGAAAGCGCTTCTTTCTGCAGCAAAGTGAAAAATTCACATGTGAGCTAAGTCAAGGCAATTGGTCGTCGGACTCACATGTCCAACGAACGTGCTTCTGCACTCCAGACACATGATGCTGAAACGATTGACGTCGGTAAACTCGTGCCTTTGATGTGCTTCCACCGCAACTTCACTGGCCCGTTCGACCTGCAAACAACGGCGGCCGACACACTCAACAGCAGCTCGTACAACCAATCGGTCTATCTACCATCGTACCTTCGTAAAGTCATTGATTGCAAAGAGCGTCACATCGTGGTGCTCCGACGCCGTGGAAGATGGGGACTCGACCACTAGATCGTAGTGAATGCCATCGTAGAGCAAGAACATTCGTTGCGTGAAGCCTTGGTCTTCACCATAGCAGAGTCTGCTCATACTTGTGACATCAAAGACGACCATCTCTACATTGTAGTATGTCGATAAAATCGACAACTCAATCTCGCCACCCCAGGACTTGTCGTCCATAATCCAAGCGCAATACTCATACACTGGTCGTCCCAAAAACACCTCCGAGTATTCCTCCGGGTTTGCCAAAATCGTATCCCGAATCAACTCCCGCATCCTACTACTACCTCCTTCTTCTCTTGTCTTGCGAAGAGCATATCTGTAACACCAAATAGAAACATCAAGTCAGTAAACAGCACCACACTGCCAACCTTTTCTCCACGACAGTGACACGCACCCAATGGAATGAAAAAGGCAACTATTGTCTGCCGGCATGACGCGTCGCATGAACACCGACGTGACTTTGGACTGGATACAACTTGTCTTTGGAGCTTCCTTGAGCACTAACATGGAGCCTGTGCGCACCCCCAATGAAGACAACGTACTCTCCTGTAAAAATACCATTGACACAAGTGGATCAGTAAGGCCCTGTCACTCACATGTTCCTTCACTTTAGTGTCGTCATCACGTACTCCCGGACCCTCAATCATTTTAGGAGGGTATCCTGTCATCACTGCAGCCACAAACCACAAGATATAAAAAGCAGATTAGACAGGCGAGTCTTGATCCAGAGATTTCAAACGTAAACATCATAGTGATCTTGCCATGCTGATCTTGAGGTTCAATCGACGTCTTCTCGAACAGATGAGCGCGTAATCCGTCCAGCGTCACATCGTCGGGTAAGCCCAAAAGCTTCGTCGACGTGCCATCCGCGAACGTCACTTTGAAATTCATCGGCATCTTTCTGACGGCGTTTATCGTAGTTGATATTTGGCACGTTGACCCAAGGTGAGCACTATCAAAAGGGGTTGTTGCAATTGACTATTTCTAAGCACAAATCAGAGCTAACAGGTTTCTACCGCAGCATCACATGGTAGTCATTTTCGTCACGTAGCGCTTCCTAATAAAACGCAAATGAGCAAAATTCAGCTACCACTTCCCTCCTTGTCCCATTTTGACCGTGTCTGTCGTACTGGATCATAAGCCAGTGCTCTGGGCTGCTTACTACTTCAGCCAGGACATCATTTTGTGTGCAATCTTAGCGTTTAGAGCCTTTTCATCTCCTTTGCTGTCCACAGTAGGATCTTCTGCAACCTCCACGACAACACTGGGTGTACCCAAATAACGCTCTTCGAAAGAGCCGATGCCTGGTACGACATGACCGTTATCGTTCAGTCTGGCGTCAAAGGAAGCAGTCACCAATCGAGCGTCACCGAATGTCTACGCAGCCACAAACCGCAACCGACAACAGATGAGCTCAGACTCAACAAAGTGCAATTGACACTGTAGCGACCTTGCAAAATTTATCTGCAGCTTCGGGGCAAGTAACAAGAGTCACGACCGTGACTTTGCTCTCTTCCACACCTTGTAACATCAAGAGCTGATCAATAGCATCATCAAGTAACGTTAGGAACAGAATGCTCTCGGTACCATGAAGCTATGGAAAGCATCGCTTTCACACGTACATGTATGACTTTGTCGATCTGGGAGATCGACGCCAGCTCGGGCAGAAGAACCAGTATTTCGTGGTCATCTAAGTCGTCCGGTAGAGCTGCGTTGGCTATCTAAACAGCGTCAACAGACCACGTCAGTATTGCAGGAGCAACAATAAAAAACATGCAATAACAATTCCACCTTATTGCCACCTTTGGTGAGCTCTTGCACTAAAATCTTGCCGCACTTGGCGCCGTATGGAAGGGACGTGCGAAGAACTTGCGCCAGACTATACATCCACGACATAAGTAAGTTGACGTTAGCCCAGATCTGTGCACCACTTCCTGCACATGTGCGTACCCCTCGTGCGTCTCTTCCTTCACGGCCACACTGATCCCGCACACCTTCACATCGTCCTCTAGCACGAGGCCCTCTACCTTGTACCCGCGCGGGGTCGTCACAACAGCCTAAACAAAACATCACCAACATACAAGCATTAAAAATGCCACGGACGGGTAGTGACCCACAAGATGAAGAATCACGATCATCACCCTTCCATCGTTCGGTAGCTCGGTAAGTGCCAAGTCCAAAGTCGACCGCAGCACTCCGTTCGCATCATGAACAAACTTTGCCCCTGTCCTCATGCAAGCAGCAGCGACAGCACCGACAACATCGGTTGATTCATTGCGTCAGCGGTCTTGATAGCAAGCGCCTCTGTTCCCTTTTCAGCAGCACCCCCACCAGCGTTTTCGTAGTCGCGGATCCGAGTCATCCCCAACTGAATCAACTCGCTCTCGAAATCCAACACCACCACATTTTCATGCTGCTCTCATTCCCGTCAGCACGAAACCGTCTTCCCCTATACACATAAAACCCACTTAACCCACTGACCTGAGCCTTCCAGAGCTCGAGACGGACTCCACGTCCCAACGCTTCGCTGACGACAGCGCATGTTAGCAAGCAGATGAGAAAGATTCCCTCGTTGCCTTCAGGTGCGTACCCGCTCACATAGACCCGCTGCTCGGCACGTGCGTGTTGATTGAGCAGGAGGGTAGGGGCGCCAAGCAGCGCCGTCGTTCCTGCTTTTGCGTAGCTCCTCATCGCGCGTCGAAACATAATTGACAAATGAGGATGGAAAGCGTTCGGGACGCGATGTTTGTTGCGAGCCGTAGGGTGAAGCTATGAGTGAGCGTGCGCACTTATAAATCGTACTTAGCTATCGACTGCTGCTGTGTGGTGTTTTGCAGCATGATTGAGTTCTATGAACGGAATTACTTATTTCAAAGGACGAGCTCCAGAGCTTGCTCCCCACCCTATCTCAATTGATGATGGGGTCGTAGCGTTGTAGTTGTAAATCTTGCTACGTATCGGATTATTGGGGCTAGGGCGCCACTTAGGCTGTGCGAAGCAGTGATTGCTAATTGATCTACCTGGTCGTCAATTGTTATCGATGTCCAATTCGATGGATCTTGCGGAGACGACCGACCACAGGTACTACCTTAGCACGCGCGACAAGACGAATTCACTTGGCTCGATCTCTGCTGCAAGACACATTGCTAGATCTTCAATAGTACACGCTTCTTGTGAGGTCATTCGATTGTGTCCATTGCAGCAAACTTGATCCTTTCTTTAGCTACGATGTTGGGCCTGCTATGCTGCATACCACCTGTGTAACGGGGTGAATCGTTACATAACAATTTATAAGAAATTGTTAATAGAATATAACTATAAGAGTTATATTCTCAGAATATTGTCATAAGGACAATATTCTGTAGCGCTTACAAGTAGTTCCTAATTGGTTGATATAGGCCATTATATCAACCAACGAAGACGCGCCACGACAGACGCACGCAATGAGTGGTGAGCAGATAACTGATTTACACATTTGTATTTAGACATAGTTAGATGAAGATAAATAGTGATTTATTGCAGACATTAACTATTATAAATACAGTTCTACTTTTACTTTAACCAAGTACTCGCTTCTTCTTACCGTCTTCCTCTGCACGTACGAGTGTACGTGAAGTTACGAGGCACCGCCTTATTCTGTCATCAGAATAAGTAGCTTGTACTGTCACCAGTACAAGCTTCAGGGTGCCCCGTTACACCTGGTAGCACTTCGTAGTCCGTCCAAGGACCGCGTTCACATCCAACATGAATATGTTGGATGATGAAGATGACCAAAGCTTTCACGCTACGCGTGACGGCTACTCCCATTTGAGCGATGTCGAATGGGATGCGGTTGAACGAATGGGTTCGACCATGGGCATCCATGCTGTTAGCGTCATGCTAGAGGCTCTCAATAGAGGTGCCCAACATGCTACTATCGCCAAGTTCATTCAAAATGAACTTGACGCTGAACGCGAGAAAGTAGCCTTGCTTCACCAACAAGGTTCTCAACAAGCAGAGTTGTTGAGAGAACAAGGTGCTCAACAGTTTGAACTGTTGAGACAGCAGCAGGCTGCTGCTGGTGGGTCGATGCACTCGCGTCGACCCGAGACCTTGAAGATTGACAACTCCAAGTATAAGGGAGTCAAAGAGGACTCCCTCTTGAGATGGTTCGTCGAATTGGATGACGCCATAAGGGCGCGTCGCATCGACGACGAGGATATGCAAGTTGCATTTGCCCAGTCAAATCTGGCAGGACGTGCCAAGACTTGGGCACTGGGGCTCAAGTTGCACGACCCATATGCGTTTGGGTCGTTGGAAGTCTTCAAGTCGCGGCTCAGACAAACGTTTGAACCGCCTAGAGCTGAGTTCAGGGCTCGAACCGAACTCTTGAAGCTCAAACAGGGTAAGCGTGATGTGCACGCTTACGCCCAACATATACGACATCTTACGAGTTGTATAAGTTCCAATCCGGTGGATGAACACACGTTGGTTTCGGTGTTCATGCAGGGTCTTGCGGATGGTCCCGTCAAGACTCACCTGTTCCGGCTTGAACTAGATTCACTAGAACAAGCCATTTCCATTGCGGAGCAGGAAGACTTCAGTCTGAGACAGGCTCGCGCCAGCTCGACATCATATCGTCAACCGAGACGATATGACAGCGGAGGTCCAGAGCCGATGGAACTCTGTTATGTAGAGAGCGAGAAGGCTCGCTCTACAGGCTACAAGAAGTTGCAGAGATGCAACAGATGTCAAAAGACAGGACACTACGCTTACAGAGTGTAGTGCCCCTCGTCCAGTGTCTCGCGACACTGGGCGTAGTGACCGTCCACCCATGAGAAAGGGGCAGGGACGAGGGTCCGCTATTGGTGCCAAGACGCAACAACGGGATGGACCGTCAAAAAACGGACAGGATCAGTAGGTGCGGGGCACCCTACTGGTCCAGCAACGTCAAGAGAATTTGTAGGCCTCTTGATGAAAGTTGCTCCCAACACACAAACGTTGTGCGTTGCTGCTCTAGGTAATGAGGTCTCACTCATTACCTTGAAACTCGAAGTGACGAATAAGTTGTCCCTTTGAGCTCTAGTCGATTGTGGGGCGTCCAACAATTTTGTGCGACGCCAATCGCTAGAAGATGGTCACTTTAAATTCAGTGAATGTGACACACCTCCTACGAAGATGACGGTACGTCTTGCGACAGGCGCATCCGTAACCGTCATGAAGCGTATAGTGAAGATCCACTATACGCTAGAAGATACCCAATATGACGATGACTTTATCGTATTGGATTTGGATGACAAATTTGATGTCATCCTTGGAATACCGTGGCTCAGAAGGTACGAACCACGGGTAAACTGGCAACATCGAACAGTAACGATGCCTGCCGCTTGTTCATCAGATGGCCATCTGATGAACGTTTTGGAGCGTCCACAAGCGTGTGGATGTACTACGAGTGAGTGCGATGGCCTCACTTGTGGTACGGTCGTTAGTACGACTGCACAAAACCTTAGTGTACCAAACGGTTACACTTCGGAGCAAAGTTCCGGCGGCTGTGAGGAAACACAGGCTGCGCCGAAGGTCCACCACTCGAATAAGTCGAGTGGACCGGGACAAAGATGTATCCCTAGCGGGGAACATCTAGAAGAGAAACAATCGATCGCTCAGGTTAAGCGAAACGATAATCCTAGATCGACTGGAGAGTCTTTCTGTAGAGGATCTCGCTGTGGTTGCGCAACCACAGCTAGAGGAAGTAAAGGGAATAAGTCCCGATATTACAAATACGGCGGAAATAAGTTCCCCGAAACCCGCAGGAATAAGTCCCCGGGAAGCCGAAGGAATAAGTCCTTCGAAGCCTGAGGGAATAAGTCCCCAGGTAATGACAGAGACATTGAATGTCATAGTCAATAACGGATCAAGTGTAGGCGCTTATACACTTGATCTGATTGCGCCTCCGAAGTTAACTTCGGAGATCACTCAGTTGCCAACGCTCGAGCATAAAAGGTTCTTGCGTGATCTGCGTAGTGGCAAAGTCAAGCAGATCTGCGTACTCGTCGCTGACGACGAGTGTGTAACCGACATAAGGTCAGCAACAGTGTTCACTGAGAACGAGAGAGTTCTCAGTAGTTCATCTATGGACGAGAGTGTCCTAGATGAAAAGACACGAATTGAGCGATATGACTCCCAATCATGGGAATCGCTCAAGAAAAATCCTCTCTATGAAGATTTGGTTGAATTCAAGGATGTATTCCCTGAAACTGTTCCATGCGAATTACCGAAGGATAAAGGTATTCGACACGAGGTCGAGCTTAAACCAGGCTCGAAGTACTGTGTCATGAAGCAGTGGCCACTGCCTCGTGAACAAGTACTTGCGATCGACAAGTTCTTTGCCGATCGTTTAGCTGCGGGCCATGTGAGGGAATCAACTTCCCCACATAGCTCTCCGACCTTCTGTGTACGAAAAGCAACAGGAGGGTGGCGGATAGTGCACGCGTTCAACAAATTGAACGCTGCAACGGTACCGGCTCAGACGCCGATACCGAGGAAGGACGTAATCATTGATGGTATGTCAAAGAGTACCATCTTTTCGTCCATGGATTTGATGGATGGCTTCTATCAAATCCTTATGCGGGAACGGGATATACCCTATACCGCAGTTAGCACGCCTAGCGGCATGCTCTGGGAATGGCTAGTAATGCCACAAGGGCTCAGTAATGCCCCTGCCACGTTCAACAGATGTGTATCACATCTGTTGAGACCAGTACGAGAATTTGCGCCGAGTTATTTCGATGACGTATTCATCCATAGTCGAGCTATGGATGGAAAGTCGGACGTTGAGGTTCACAGGTACCACGTCCGACAAGTTCTTACAATCATGCGAAAGCATCAATTGTATGCTAACCTCAAGAAGTGTATATTTGCAGCAAGCGAAATACCACTTCTTGGGTGCATCGTTGGTAAGAACGGTGTACGTCCTGATCCCGAAAAGATCAAGGCGATCACCGACTGGCCTGTGCCGGTCGATGTCAAAGGTCTTCGAAAATTCCTTGGGCTAGCGGCGTATTTGCATAAGTATTCACGCAATTACGCCGAGATGACTGTGCACCTCTCTCGTTTGTTGAAAAAGAACGAGAGGTGGTTATGGAACGCTGAATGGCAGCGCTCCTTTGATGGTATCAAGCAGAGCTTGATACAATCCCCAGTCCTAGCAATTGCCGATAAGGACAGGCCATTTTATGTGGTCTGTGATGCCAGCGATTTCGCAATCGGCTGTGCATTAATGCAGTACGATCTTGAAGGCGTTGAACGCGTCGTTCTGCTATCAGTCGCGTCAGCTGCAACCAGCTGAGCGGAACTATCCAGTGCATGACAAGGAACTCCTTGCCATGAAGTATGCACTCGCGAAGTTCAGAGTCTATCTATTAGGAGATAGACCCTTCGTTGTTTACACTGACCATGCGTCATTACGCACGGCAGTGAACAGCCCGCACCTTTCACAACGAATGGCGCGGTGGTTGTCATTCTTTGCAGAATACAACTTTACGGTCGAGTACAAACTAGGACGACTTAATGTCGTCGCTGATGCACTCTCACGTCGTCCCGACTTTGAAACAGTCGCGAAACCCAACAGTGAGACAGTCACTGTTGCGGTTATGACGTCCTCAGTCCCATCTACAACGTTGTATGATGAGGTGAGGCGGGCATACGCCCAAGATGGTGAGATAGTGAAGTTGTTGACACATCTCTCCCAACCATCTCGAGAATCGTTGAAACGATTGTCGTCTGCGTATCGATCTACACCAGATCGATACACTGCTCGTAACGGTTTACTGTACTATACAGCCGTTTCTGGTGACACACCACGTGTTGTCATTCCAGATGATACTGATCTGCGTTTGCGGATCATGTTCGAGTATCACGATGCTCCTATAGGAGGACATCGTGGCCGAGAGAAAACATATCTCACGGTAAGTCGAGACTTTTACTGGCCCCGCCAGTATCAGTTTGTGCGAAAGTATGTTCGCGCATGCGAAGTCTGTCAACGAGTGAAGTCAAGTCCTTCACTGCGTGCACCTTTACAGCCTCTACCGGTTCCGGCTGAGTGCTGGGGATCCATCTCAATGGATTTCGTCTTCGGGTTACCCAAAGACGCACGCGGGAATACGGGTATTCTCGTATTTGTTGACAGATTCAGCAAAATGGTACACCTTGTGGCTGTACCAGAGACAATCACGGCAAGTGGCTGTGCTTGTGTCTTTATTGACACCATCTTCCGACTTCATGGGTTGCCCCGTGAACTCGTATCAGACAGAGATCCACGATTCACTGCTGATTTCTGGCGTTCCGTGTTCAAATCACTCGGAACGCGCTTGAAGATGTCAACATCTGATCATCCAGAGTCAGATGGTCAGACGGAACGTGCCAATCGTGTCCTTGAAGAGATACTTCGAGGATACGTACACTCCTTTAAGAGTTGGAGTGAGTTTTTGCCAATGGTAGAGTTTGCCATCAACAACTCGGTGCATGCGTCCACGACACATACACCGTTTTACGTGAATGGCTTGCGCCATCCGCGTGTACCCACCTTACTAGAGTGTAACTCTGGTTTAAGGGGGGGAGGGACTCGCGCGAGCAAAAACCGATTTGGTTCACGCTCATCACGCTCTGACGAAGAAGTCATTGTGTTTGATGCCGATATCGATAACATCAATATCGAAGAAGATGATGCCAGTGAGAGTGCGGAAGCCCTCACTGAAGAAGATGATCCCAGTGAGAGTGCGGAAGCCCTCACTGAAGAAAAGGTTGATGTTGCTGCAGTGCGCTCACAGCACACTGAAGCTAACGAGTCATCAGATGAGTTCATACTGGCTCGTGAAACGGTAGTCCGTTTTGTGCAAGACTCCATCGCCGAAGCGGTGGATAAGCAAAAGCAAAACGCTGACAAGAATGGAAGGGCAAACACTCTTTTATTTAATAAAGGTGACTTAGTCCTACTGTCTACGGTTAATCTACCAAAGCATGTAGTGACTAACTTGGGTAGCAGTAAACTACTACCCAAGTACATTGGCCCATTTCGTGTATTGCACCGCCTAGGCAATGCATACACGATCGAGTTACCACGTAAGATGCGAACGCATCCCACGTTTTACGTTGGTCGGCTTAAGCCGTACCATCAGTACGCTGCTTCTTCCGATGAAGAACGCCCTTGCGCTCAAGCATCTCGCAGAGAGCCTTGTGCTCCCGATGGTGGGCATCAACAAGGGTCTGAAGAGCAGTTATCTCAGCCCGAGACCGATCAACAATCCCACGAGCTACCCTTAGCTCGTCACGAAGAGATGTCAGAGATCTCTCGTTCTCAAGCTGAGCAAAGGCAAGCTCAGCTCGATGCTTCGAGGCAGTGTCCGCCATTTGGAGACGCCTATTCCGCTCATGTTCGAGATCGTCGCGTAACCCTTGCGTTACGCGATCAAAGAAGCTCTCGGGAACACACCGATCCACATGATCGTGTGGAGAGCGTCTTTCCTCCTCCTCCACCTCCATTAAAGGACTCTCGCGGTGGCCAGCGCTATCTGATTGAGCAGCTGTTGAACCACCGCGACGTGAACGGACGTCGGACGAGTTATCTCGTCCGGTGGCGCGGCTATCCCCCGTCCTGGGATTCTTGGGAGCCCCGCTCCCAACTGATGATCGACGTACTGGGTCTGGTTGAGCAGTACGACGCGGCACATCCTGTGCCGCAGAAGGACCGCCGGAGAAAGTCTTCCCGGCACCGTCGTAAAGGGATTTCAGGTTGTCAATCCCTTCGTACATCTCAGTAGAGACACGTACGCGCCACCACGGGCTGGTAAGGAGGTAAGCCTCCTTAGGTGCTCGTGCAGAGTTGTTCACACAACATGGGCACGAGTCTCCCCAAGAGAGGCAGGGTAATCCTTTCTCCTTTGACAGACGATGCAGCTTGTAGCGTGCACCTGTCGGGGTTCGCTTTTCAAACTTATCACGAGCTTTGATAAGTTTGTCGTTCCAAGCGTCACGACCTACATCCTCGAGGTTATGGATGTAGGCGTTCCACGCCTGAAGTAGTGAGGGACCATCACGTTTGTGATTCCCACTGTACCATCGATGTCTAAAGAAAGCATCGATGAAGAGTTCATGTTCAGCGCGATAGTTTTTCGCGCTGGGGTCAAGGTGATGGATCCTTGACGAATCGAACAATCGTGTTCGATAACGATCACTCGTCGTCGCCGACAAGTGATCCATGACGGAATTTTGGAGGCATCCATGCCTTCTTCTCAGGAGCGAGACGCAAGACATTGCGGTCCCGCTCTTCCTGCGATGTGCCGACAGAAGTACTGGCACCTCGCTGTGAAGTGGTGTCCATAGGAGAACCGACACCACTATTAGCGCCCGAGTCTCGCGACCTCGAGCGCCTTCGCTTTGGCGATGGTTCATCTGATTCATCAGATGAACCAAAGATGCTACGACGCATAGCATCGTCCATGCCACGCTTGGCAGGCGGCTTGGATTCAATCGCCGTCGATACGGATCCGTCATCCGTATCAGGAGAGTACGAGACACCGAGCTCACACTCTGTGAAGACATGAGTGTCTTCATGACCAGCGCCTGCATCACCAGGTGATACAGGCTGAGTCGATTCAGCAACCGATGGGACATCAGTTGCTGTAGTTTTCTGCTTCGGCGTCCGCACAGAGACGTGCAGACGCGCTCTCGGCGGCCTTGTTCGCGCATCGCATGGGCTTGTTTACCATGCGATGAGATGTTGGAAAGTGGACTCGGACCAACAAGCGCAAACCCTGTCCCAAATGATTTGGGACGAGTATCCATTTCGTCAATCAGTCACTAAAGTGACTGATGGTTAAGGGGGGGTGATGTAACGGGGTGAATCGTTACATAACAATTTATAAGAAATTGTTAATAGAATATAACTATAAGAGTTATATTCTCAGAATATTGTCATAAGGACAAATATTCTGTAGCGCTTACGAGTAGTTCCTAATTGGTTGATATAGGCCATTATATCAACCAACGAAGACGCGCCACGACAGACGCACGCAATGAGTGGTGAGCAGATAACTGATTTACACATTTGTATTTAGACATAGTTAGATGAAGATAAATAGTGATTTATTGCAGACATTAACTATTATAAATACAGTTCTACTTTTTACTTTAACCAAGTACTCGCTTCTTCTTACCGTCTTCCTCTGCACGTACGAGTGTACGTGAAGTTACGAGGCACCGCCTTATTCTGTCATCAGAATAAGTAGCTTGTACTGTCACCAGTACAAGCTTCAGGGTGCCCCGTTACAACCTGCCACGATGGTCCATTCGATGTCGCGTTGTCGTGCGAACAGTCACAAATAGACAAGAAAAAGAAGCTAATTCTAGTCCATCTGTCCACTGAGGATTCAGAGAGGCTCCATTGAATGCACATAAAGTCTCACCCATTCGTATCTGCGTGAACTCATGAACAAGCAGGCGACCCAAGGTAGAAGCAAGAGTGGAGCTTTCTAGTGGCCTCAGTGTCGCTAAACTTTTTCTGACCCGCGATTACTAATGACTATAAGCGGTGGAAGGGAGGCAAACTAATTATGCCTGCACGCTTTAAGCCACTGCGTCAAAGCATTTCGAACTGCGACAGAATTCATACTTACTATCCGCACCCATTAGCACAGCGGCTGTACTCGACAGAAGATAAGATAAAGCGATGGTCGGTCTCTACCGTGCTGTATGTGTATTGTGACACCTCCAAGCGCGATAGAACCGTGACAAAGTTGCGCATACGCTAGCATTTCTGCACTCGCTCAGCGCTAGAGTACAAGTGTAAAACGTAGCACCTCAGGTCTGACAACGCTCAGTTTTGGGTGGTAGCTGTAGTTACGTTCTTAAAAGAATGTCTGCTTACCTTTTTAGAAGAATGTAAGCATTTCACGACCGCCTGGATTTGAAAGCAAATGGACAATGGGGACTGAATATTTGATTTAGAGCTTAGCGACGATAATGATCAGCAGGTACGTATGCAAAAATTAGTTCCTTTTTATCCGGTGTCAACTGATAAATGTGTAGATCCAGCGCTTGGGGAATGATCATGACTACGATGGCGAATGCATCGTCCAGCATGTTTGTATATCTGTCGATTTGCACAGGAACAGTTTAGCTGAATCCTGTGATGTCTATATCCCCTGGAAAAAACCATTGTAGGGTCGTTTTTTTTTTTCAGGTGGGTGTTGACTTTGCCAAATTGGCCGAATAATTGAATGAGCGCTTTTCGATGGCATGCGGAATGCACTCAAGCTTGCGATGATGATCTCTCCATGCTGTACGCGCCTGCCCGAAACTTAATCAGATCTTTGCCTGATCGTGATCAGGGATCATGCACCTAAGGCAAGAATTCTAAACTATTTACACCTCGGCACTACCATCAAAACTTGGCAACGCTATCAATGTGATAAAGGTTGAACTCCCTTTGACTCACACGCTTCCTTCCAGTCGGTGGACTTAGACGCCCAAAAGTTCGAGAATGTAACACCAATGAAGTGGAAATTTGTCGAGTGCCTGACACGGGGCGATGTTTATCACCTCGACGTGCAGCGAAAAAGAATGTGCGTGAGCGCGGTGCATACTTGAAGAAGCAGACGTCGTAGCTATCTTGTGCCTTGATGCTCCAATATATTCTTCTGCTCATACACCGACTGTCCTCGTCACTTCTTCGCTGGTGCTATTCACTTTCTTTGTGACTGGATCGCTTCCGCTTATTTGGCGCGCCCTCTCTTCTGGTGTATCTTGCACGAGTCTTCGGACGCTTTTCAGAATCAATACGTCGTGCTTTTGGCGACGCAAGTCAGCCAGAAGACACGGCTCGAGGTTCACGGATCGCCTGAGCTGCTTGCGTTGGAGTGCTGATTCGCTAAGAATGCTGTTTCTCCCTTGTTGCCGCTGACAAGCTCAAATTATCAAACAAAGAGGCATCTCGGCGATTACTCGAGATTCAACGCATCAGTGAAATCGCCGAAACTGAGAGGGTCAAACTGAGTCGTCTTTCTCTTTCCGCTTGAGCAGCAGCGACGAAAAGCTGGTTACCATGTGCCTAACAGACGCGATAGGATACATTGCATTTAATTGATAAAAAATAGGTTTGCACATCAAATGACTATTTGGTGTTGGTGCCAGAAGCTGTGTTTAAAAATAACGATTGAAATTATCTTCGGCTAACTGATTGAGTGTCATCGACCGGATGTCCGCGAGGACTTCAAACTTTGCGATTCAAGCAGCAACATTGCACTCGTGTCAATGTCTCATCCAGCATCAGCTGCGCTCTCAGCAGCTGTACGCGCGCCCCTTGCAAACTCCACCGTATACTCAAGGAACTACTGTATATGCACCTGTGTCCAGTTGGAATGGGGTAACTCAAACGGTCGTGATAACCAGGTACATTGGTGTGGTATGCATAGAAAGAGATCAGTGTCACTGATAAGGCGTACTTTGGTTATGGTTAGAGTATATCCATCGTAAGGGGGTCTTCATAAAGGCGACGTAGTTCTCGTGTGGTACACAAGGAAAACTACGATGAGGGCTATTCTATTAAATAGCAAAGTGTTAAGGTTAACGACGTAAGTAGCAATTATTATCACTATAAATCAGTACATTTTCCTGCTCCCCTTTTGATCAACTTCAGACACGTGTTTTTCTAAGACGTTTCTGGTCGCAAAAGTTCAGTGCCTGAGCTAAGACTAAGTACTATTTTGATCATCAGTGCCACGTGATTCCTTGGAGTCGTAGCCCTGAACCAGGACTCGAAGCTTTAGAGCTTGCACAAACACTCAGAGTTAAGTCTCACCAAGTCTGCAAACTTGGGACCTTTTAAGTTTAATCCGCTTAATTTGATATCCAAAAAGACTCTACGGGCCTAGAGTCTTTTTCTGGTTAAAAAGCTAGGGTAACCCGTTGCATAAGTGGCAACGCACCAGAATTCGCAGTCTTGTCTCTATCAACGCATCAACGCGACTCAAACGCACGGGACGAGCATTGGTAGCGTGATGCTTTAGAAATCGATACAAGGCCATTATGCGTAGGCTTGATGTAATGGGGCAACCTTTGTTTGGAGTGCCACGAAACTTCACGTACACTCGTACGTGCAGAAGAAAATTAACTTAAACAGCTAGTTTGAGTAATGGTAAAAGGAGAACTGTATTTAATATAGTTAAGCTATCAATTGAACTTCGATCTTTATCTAACTATATTAATCTACGTCGTCGTATGACGACAGCCTGCTCACCACTCATTACGCGCGTCTAGCAGTAATTGGTGGTAACCTTGGTTGATAAGCATTTATCAACCAATCTTTGAGCAGCGCATGAAAATTATCTAAAGGGAATATATTCTGCGGTAAAGCCGATCGAGATCGGGTCCAAAAGCCTAGGCGAGTCAGCTAAGTACGAGGTGGTATCGGATAAATGCTCGTGTGATGATTGCCAGCTATTTGTATGTTACCGTTGGGAGGATCCAACGGGCCCAACCCCATCTAATCCGCACGGTATTAGACTGTAGAAATATGAAGGGACCGCGATCAATGGACCGCGATCAAGGGACCACGATCAGGGGACCGCGATCTGGCGTGAGCCACGTGATATAGAAGGATTGAAAATCTATTTTTCGGCATGGAGAAGACTCGTGGCGGCTAATCCTGACATAAGAAGTAGGCGTGATTATAGTTTTGGGTTTTGGTTGGTTAACATTGAAGAGAGTCTAATTTGCTTTTCAACACATACGGATCGTTCTTCTTCCGGGTTGGATATTTTGGCCTCCCGACGTCAGAGAACTTCGACACCAAGGGCAGGCAGATCACTTCTGGAGCTATTTGGCCAGGAGTGCAAGGAATATCAACACACCTCAACTGCAATAGGACACAAGCAACCTTACTGGTTGAAGTACAAGATCGCGAGACGGCTCAAGTGGCCAGAAGGATCGCGACTCAAGTACCTCATTCTTGGCAGAAGGCGATCAAGGTTGATCGCGGCGATTCTAGGAGAGCACCAACCAAGAACAGGCGATCGGGTGAGAAATTTCCACCCGATGAGCGCCAATCTCTAAAACGGCCAAGATCAGCATTGAGTCAAGTCCACGTAGAAGAGTGCAACCCACCCTACCGACGGGTACACAAGGTGAGGAGGAAACAAGTGCAAGCAAAATCGGTGTACCCCCTCCGTTAGTCGGCTGTCTGGGCGCCAGTGGAGAGTCGTGATCGCCTCATAAAATGAGCAAACCCACCCCACCACAATGGTGCGCGTGTCCGGATCTTCTGGTGACTCGGGACTTCACAGTCACGCGAATTCGACAAGCAAAAAGAAAAAAATCTTATGCTCACGCAACAGCAAGAAGTCGAGGCGGATGTAAGTGACCGTAAACGGCAATTGACACCTCCTTTATCGACTATCCGTATATGTTATGTATCGTTCCATAGACGTATCGACCTACCCGTGTGTCTACCGTTATGTGTGTGGCTATCATTATGTCGATTTGTCTAAAAAAAATTCATTCGGATACTCACGCTGCAGCACCAGGATGATGATGCTTAGATCAAGACTGAACCTAGGATTGAAGCGCCAGCGGAAGATGGATTGCCGCAGTCGCGCGAAGAGAAAATATCCCAAAATCATCATAGTTTTGGGAGGGAATACGATAACAAGAAAGTTAAAGAGGATGATCAGCTTGGTGACCTGAAAGAGAAACCTCG